TACGGTCTCCGCCAGGCGCCACGTGAGTGGCACGACACACTGAGGACTACGCTTGCGGCTCTTGGGTTCGCGCCTTCTACTGCTGACCCGTCGCTGTTTCTGCGCACCGACACTTCACTGCCGCCGTTCTACATCCTCGTGTACGTCGACGACTTGGTTTTTGCCACTTCTGACACTGAGGCTCTCGCCCACGTGAAGTCGGAGCTGCAGAAGAGACACACGTGCACAGACTTGGGTGAGCTGCGCAGCTACCTTGGCTTGCAGATCACCCGGGACAGAGCACGCCGCACCATCACCCTGACTCAGTCACACATGGTGCAGCAGGTCCTTCAGCGCTTCGGCTTCACCTGGTCTTCAGCACAGGCCACTCCTCTGGCTACAGGTCACACGCTCTCAGCTCCACCTTCGGACGAGTCCGTAGAGCCGAGTGGTCCTTACCCAGAGCTAGTCGGCTGCCTCATGTACCTGATGACTTGCACTCGACCTGACCTCGCGTACCCTCTTGGTCTTCTGGCTCGCTACGTGGCTCCTGGTCGGCACCGACCTGAGCACATGGCTGCTGCTAAGAGGGTACTGCGCTACTTGTGCAGCACATCAGGCATGGGGCTAGTGCTTGGAGGGACGAGCCCAGTTGTCCTCACTGGGCACTCAGACGCTTCTTGGGTTGACGACCTGGCTACTCAGCGGTCGTCGCAGGGTTACACCTTCAGCCTTGGCTCTGGTTCAGTTTCGTGGCGTTCTACACGCTCGTCTTTAGTTCTCAGCTCCAGTTGTGAGGCTGAGATCTACGCCACAGCCATGGCTGCACAGGAGTTACGCTGGCTCACCTACCTGCTGACTGACTTGGGAGAGCAGCCTCGTTCTCCTCCAGTGTTGTACGTCGACAACAAGGCCGCCATTGCCTTGTGTGAGGAGCACAGACTGGAGCACAGAACGAAGCACATTGCTCTGCGTTACTTCCTGGCTCGAGAGTTGCAGCAGCGAGGCCAGCTTCGTCTTCGTCACGTGGCCACTCGGGCCAACACTGCTGATATATTCACCAAGGCACTTCCGTCTGGTGATCATCAGCGCTTTTGTACCCTGTTAGGCCTTGTGCCTACGTTTCCACACTTGCTGTAGTCTCTGCTTGTACTGTGATCTATATATATACATGCATGCCTGCTCTTGCTAGGTAGTCATCACTGTACTGTTATTGTTGCATATATATCTCTGCATGTGGACTGGCCTTGTGGCCCTTTGCTTGTGCTCAGAATGTGTGGTGACGTTGAGATCCACCCTGAGCTTGCTTTTCTTCTCTTGACTGGTCGTTTGACCCCTTGTTCTCCCCCACTTTGCCTATGGGGGTGTGTCAAACATATATGCTACATATTGTCTAGGCTGTAGTGGGGTAGCCCATATGGGGTACAGCCCAATTAGGGTTTACTACTTGTACTCCTGCATGCCACTAGTTCACACATTCCTGCTGCTAGATTCTAACATGCCGAGCTGGCAGCAGCATAGCACGGCAGTGTAATTGACGTTCAGCGCGCTGCTGTCTGCCCAAAATGCTATTCTGGCCATTCGTGACTGAAGCGCGTTCCAGCGCTGATATCACGGGCCAATCGTTGCTGTGACAGCGCTGCTGAAGCCAATCGTTGCTGTGACAGCGGTGCTGAAGCCAATCGTTGCTGTGTCAGCAGCACTCACCATGCGAGGTGAGTGAGGACCTTTGGCCGATGCTGAGCAACGTTGAATCAGCAACTTCGACGCCAAGCTGGCGCTTGCCTCGCTGGAACGCCAGTTGGCGATTTTGTCGCCAGGCTTGCACTGGCAAGGTGGGTGAGGTGCACTGTACCTGCTTGTTCGAATTGCTTCTTTGAGGGAGTGCTGTGTCTCAAGTCTTTCGTTATATATGATCGAGAGCCATGACTGGAAAAATCACTACTTTTTTTTTTTTTCCCTAGTCCCCGCAGCCGCTTCTGTTTCTGGTTCGTCATCACCTCTGTTCCCGCATCCGCTTCTCTTCTTGGTTCGTCATCACGTTTGTCTCCACACCGCTAAGTCCAAGCTCCTTCATTCGCTGTGTCGAAGTGTTTGTTTCTGTTGTTTTTTAATGTGTGTTTTTGTTTCCCATGTATAATTCATAACTCCTCATATCGTTGCGCGTCCAGCGCCTTTTGCGAAGCTCGGCTCCCAGTATCTGCGCTCTCACTGCGTCCTTCTGCCTCTCCCCTCGCAACCCATGTCAGAATCGTCGAGCCTCGCAACCAAGCACCACGCACTGCAGATCGACTCACCTTGCGTGTTTGCCGCTACGGAGCCAGTACGTGAGACCGAACTCCCCTATTGAAACCGGACTTCCGAGCATTGTTTGTTTCTTTCTCCTTCGGCTTGTCTTGTTTACCTGTTTCTATGTTGTTTCAGCCTATGCGCCCGACGCGAAGCATCAGCCAGCGTGGTCGTTGCATTCCGTGGTAATTAGTTCATGTAGTTTGTGCGTGTATTTCTTGTTTCGTTAATGCTCATCGTGTGTTTCTTCTTGCAGGTCCCCTGTTTTCCTTGCAGGTCGTCTTGTTCTTAAGGCTCACGATGACTACTGCTGGTAAGATATCATTCTGTTTTGTTCTTTTTTTTTTTTTTTTTTTGCATTGACATCAGTTTCAATGTGCAGCCCCCGGTAAAGGCATTAGAGCAGCGGATGGTTTTCCATCCGAAAATGGTCGGAACTCCTACGTCGATGTTTCTTTCTGAGGTTGCCTTCGGAGTTGCTAGTAGATTGCTAGGTAGTGCTCTTTTTGGAAAAATGACTTGGTTGCTTAGTTGCATGCTGCAAAATTTTATTACAAATGATATAGCACATTTGCAATCGAGTACGTTAATTTCGATTTTATTCATTTTTACAGCGTAATGATTCTGCATACAACGGATATATGCCTATGACGAGTCGAAACTGTAATTGAACTGTGCCTATAACAGGCCTATTTTTTTATGAGCACACGTTTTATAATTCGATGTCGAAATGTGTTTTTGGAAACGCAGCCGGAGGGGAATCCTCCGGCAGAGCAGCAGGGGGGGGTGGGTTGCGGGAATTCCGCGGAGCAGGCGGAGCAGCAGTCAGGGGAGGGGAGCGGGCGGAAAAAAACCGGTGGTTGTGATTGTGGTGGCATGGCAGGTACTGCTTTTATGGAGATGACTAAAACGAAATGAGTGTGAATGAGTTGCAATGAGGAGAGCAGGCGGAAGAAGCCAGTGGCTGTGATCGTGGTGGGCGTGGCAGGTACTGCTCGGTGATGCCCTAAGAATTCTAATTCTAGTGTTATTTTCAAGATTCTCAGCTTGAGCTTTCGCCTCTTCTTTCTTAGAAATTGCCTTTCTTTCTTTTGCCTCCCCTCTCTGCACCCCTCTCCCCATTCCCCTCTCCCCTCTTCTTTCTCCCCTCTCCCCTCTCCCCTCTCCCCTCTCCCCTCTCCCCTCTCCCCTCTCAATCTCCCGTCTCCCCTCTCCCGTCTCCCGTCTCCCCTCTTCCCCCTCCCCTCTCCCCTCTCCCCTCTCCCCTGATGCAGCGTCTATACGCTGATGCAGCGTCTATACGCGCACATGCAACGTCTATACGCGCACATGCACGGCAGCAGCATAACCCATTACCTCATCAACCTGTATACGCCTGTGCCCTCCGTGCCCTACCTCGCCCTTAGTGCCCTCCGTGCCCGTCCTCCCTTCCCCAGACCCCCCATCACCAGGCAGTGGCAAGACCACCCTGATGCAGCGCCCCTACGCTCACATGCACGGCAGCAGCATCACCCATTACCTCATCAACCTCCACCCTGCCACGCCCTCCTTGCCCTTTTTCTGCCCTTGGGTCCCCATCTATGCCTCTCTGCCCTCCTCTACTCTCCGCTCCCAACCCCCAACAGGCAGTGACAAACAAACCCTGACACAGCGGCTATACGCGCACATGCACAGCAGCAGCATCGCCCGCTACCCCGTCAACCTGCACCCGCCTGTGCCCACCTCTGCCCTCAGTTCTCCCCTCTGCCTTCCGTTGTCCCCAAATCCCCCATCACCAGGCAGTGACAAGACCACCCTGATGCAGCACCCATATGCGCACATGCATGGCAGCAGCATCGCCCACTACCCCATCAACCCCCACCCGCCTGTGCCCACCTCTGCCCTCTTCCGCTCTCCTCTGACCAGGAAGTGGGAGACAACCCTCAAGCGGCGCCTATATGTCCACATGCACGGCAGCTATATCGCTCACTACCTCATCAACTTTCACCCGGCTGTGCCTTTTGTGCCCTCCGTGCATCCCAACGCTTCCTCCCGTCCCAATGCTCAGTCACTCACTTGTTATTGCTGCCTTTGCCATCACCCTCCCTCCTCGCCTGTAGATTCCTGCAGGATTGCGCCAAGGCAGTAGCAGTGATAAAGCTGAGCTGACTCTTCCATCTGTTGTGAGCATCTGTTTTACACACAGCCCAAACAGCTTTCCTGAAAGTCGAACAGTCATAATGAGGCAAAGCTGAGGTGCCGTATCAGTGAAGACAGAGGGAGGCAGTAAAACTGCTGCATCTGTCTGTCAACCACATAGGCCTTTAACAAATTATGTGACTATCCGAGTTGCCGAGTCTAAAGTGGCTGGTTGTGGGAATTTTTTGGGCAAACATTGTTACAGGGGAAGAACATGATTAGAGTTTGCTGGATGCATGTTTTGCTGAACACCAATATTCTGAAACACAAATAGTAATTTAATCCGTAAATACAAACAAATGCACCATATTCCGAACCACTGTTTCAGAACGACCATGGCGCTTATCGCGCTGCTTGGGCATGGATACATACGCGTACAAATACACAGAGGTTCTCCCCTGCAGCTCCCCCCTCCCCCACCGTTCCCTTCCAACCGAGTTCACAATTTCTTCCCGTCATCCTCACAACAGCTTCACAAGTCACAACAGCTTCACAAGTCACAACCACCCATTCATCGTCTATCCAGTATTAGTAGTACTGTAGTAGTAGCGGTACTAGGGGGATATCGTCTGCATGACACACGAGTTGGTGTCAGGGTCCAAGTTGTTCGGAACCATGAACTTCATACTGTTGAGCCCCACGACGTTGTACTTAAACTTTTTACCTTTAGCATTCTTGGCCGTTAGAAGGGGTTCGAATGCATCAGGTAGTGCTAGGCACTTATTGACGCTTGTGTATCCGTCAGCGTCGAACCAGCCGGATTGACGGTCGGGATTCGTCGCAGATGCCGCGATAACGTTAGCAATATTGACGATCATCGAGTCGATCCCGGGGTTCCCGTTGGGCGTCGGGCTTCCCTTACGATACGCCATGCAATTTTGGCATTTACCGGGATGACGCAGGAGTGCAAACACACAGGGTCCGACGCGGAGGTCGGCTGGAGATATCCCGTGGAGCCAAATCCGCAGTGAACTTTGCAAAAGCCGTCGATTTTCACGTTCTTGCTTGCGATCATCAGGTAGATACCATTGGCGTCGTAGGGAAACGGCTTCTTGGTGCCAATCTTGCTCCGAACAACTGTGGAACCACAGTAACCAAAAAAAGCGCACACGGTGTGGATGGTAAGAAGGCAAGCAAATCATTCCAGGAGGTCAGCGGTTTGACGTAATGCGGCCTGCAATCAAACATGATCCATGTACTACCAAAAAAGTGCACTTCTGCTGAACGCACACACCTTCCCAGGCAGTCCTTGCACTGACTTTCTTCCGCACGAATCCTTTGTGTTTGATTACCTTCGCGACTTTCACCTGGGAAAGGGGGAAGGGGGTGGTGTTGGATTGTACATAAGATTTCTGAATATAACAGTCCGTATCTAGCAGCAGTCGCCAGTTTCGTGGTTCACAATCGTTGCTTCTTTGTTTTGTTTCAAATGATCTTTACCGTCGTTTTGCAACCCTCGAAAATCCCGAGGTACCGTAGCTTGTCCGCTGCTGCACCTGTCTGTCTGGAACGTACCATTTCATTAATAATAAGAAAAAACAATTTTTAAAAAATGGCATACCTCCGTGCTGACGAAGGCCTGTGTCCCGTCTTCTGCCTCCGAGTAGTATTTTGTATTGGTCGCCCACCAGTAGCTCACTTTGGGATCCCCGGCCGCACCCTGCTTATTGGCGCTTCCCAGACTCAGTGACGAGATGAAATTCTCAATTATTTTTGGTCCCGCTTTTGCTGGCCAGGTGCCATAGTAGATTATGTACACATTCAGCGTCGCGCCGCTCAGCACGCGACCACCGTTGTATTCGATGGGAACGATCTCCGTTGACGCGAGTCCCTGTTTGTCGCGTCGCTTCGTGTCGAAGCTGGTATTCGTTCCGAACATCCGCACAGGCGGAGAGTCGCCGCGCGGGCCGACGACGTGGATCAACTTTCGCTCACGGCCGCTCAGCTGTCGCACGAGAGGGACGCGGCGCACCGGGCCGGCGAATGCGGGTGGGACTATCCAAAAGCATACGAGCATCGAGACTCTAGCAGCAGGGGACTGAGGATTTTTGCCATGGTGAGAAGCAGCGAGACTCTAGCTGATTCGCCATTGACAGCTTCTAGTGGTAATATACCACGGAGGGCGATTCGGGTGCAAAAGCAAGGAGTGAATGGGACAAGGCTGGTAGACTCGGAGTCAGGACAGGGTTGTGAGACTTCGCCTAAATAAGAAGTGAATGGGACAAGTTTACTAGACTCCGCTGGACAGCAATAGAAGCCTCCCCCTAACTAGTTTACGAGACAAGGTTGGTCGGTTGGGAGGAGGGCAGGGCTGCCGATTTGTTTTGGAGCACCCTGCTAGATACTGTACTGTAAGACCAATGGCCACGGTAGGGTGATTGGTGCTTGCGAAACTCACGAGACCTGTATTTACTGGATGCCTAACAATTCGTCTAGTTCGCAAAAGCTCGCTGATTGTGCAGCCAATCAATTGGCAGCATCCAGTTTCAGAGCCAAGCCAAACTGCGCTTCAACCTCCGTCACATGTTATCCTCGCTATAGTGCGATAGCCTACTCAAATATAATAACGTTTTTGTTTATGCCAGCCACTTTTGTCGGAGAGCTGCCAGAACGTTCTGACACGAATCCCGCAAGGACCGCTGTCCCTTAGAATTTTGCTGGTAGTTCAGAAAGCATGGCTCGTATAAACCGAGAGTTATTATATTTTGTCAGTAGTTAGGGCCTCTGTTGAACAAATCCAACGTTGGTCGTTAGGCTCGCCTGTGTTTAGGGTTGGATCTCGGTGGTGAAATCCATGAGGGGTTTTCCAACCTCCAGACTCAGTCCACTTTTCTCATCTCTATGGAACGAATTCGTGTGTGATCACTGAAGACGGCTCTCCTTCTGTCTGATATTTTATAGAACGAGTCAGAAGCCCCATACTCGCAGGGAGCGTGAAGACATCAATTTGACTGCCTGCCGGCCCGCTCTTGAAAAGGCCAGCTTGTTCCGACTTATTCTCTTGCTACATAACATCAGGATCTGGCAGCCAGGCATCAGCGGTTATTCCTAATACCCTTCGTCTATACTTCCGCGCCGCGCCCAATTAAGATCAAGAGCATCGAATCGTTGAATCGAGAGCTTGTAGACACGTAGGCGCAATTTCGTTGACTCGCTGACTCGTTGACTCGCAGTTTCGTTGACTCCCTGACTCGTTGACTCGTTGAGTCACTCGGTTGACTCTTTTTAGAGCTATCGTACTGATTCTGCCTCCTTGCTAAAACGCCTCACAGTCATGTCTTCCGCGAATAGAAACGACTTGCCCGGTGAAACAGAGGGGGGTGGAGCTGGGGAAGGTGGGACCGGGGGAGGTGGATCTGGGGAAAGCGGATTGCAGCAGGGGGAGGGGAGCGCGCGCGCAGGGTCGGCGGAAGCGCAAGGGGGAGGGAGTGCGCCGTCGCGCGAGGCGGAAGCACAGCAGCAAGGGGAGGGGGGAGGGCGGAAGAAACCGATGGTTGTGATTGTGGTGGGCATGGCAGGTACGGCCTGGTGGTTACTCTAACGAGATGTGTGATTATCGCATTAAATGTGTGATTATGGAGGCAGGCCTTTTTATCGTACTTCCCTGCACTCTCCGCCTTTTTCCTTTCAGTCGTTCGCTCTTTCTCCTCTCTCCCCTGTCTCCTCTCCCCTCCCCCTCTCCCTCTCCCCTCTCCCCTCTCTGCTCTCCCCTCTCCCCTCACGCCTGTACGCGCACATGCACGGCAGCGTAATCGCCCACTACCTCATCAGCCTAGATCCTGCCGTCCCTTCCGTGCCCTACCTCGCCAGCATTGACATTCGGGACACAGTGAACGTTTTATTTCCCTCACCTGCCAACTCCCAACCCCCAACAGGCAGTGGGAAAACCACCTTGATGCAGCGCCTCTATGCGCACATGCACGGCAGCAAGGTCGCTCACTACCTCATCAACCTCGACCCGGCTGTACCCTCCGTGCCCTACCTCGCCATCATTGGCATTCTCGCTTGAACACGTTTTCCCCAACCCCCAACCCCCATCAGGCAGCGGAAAGACAACGCTAATGCAGCGGCTATATGCGCACATGCACGGCAGCAAGGTCGCTCACTACCTCATCAACCTCGACCCTGCTGTGCCCTCCGTGCCCTCAGTTCCCCCCTCTGCCTTCCGTTGCCCCCAACCCCCAACAGGCAGTGGCAAGACAACGCTAATGCAGCGGCTATACGCGCACATGCACGGCAGCAAGATAGCTCACTACCTCATCAACCTCGATCCGGCTGTGCCCTCCATGCCCCTTTCTGCCCTCGGTTCCCTCCATGCCCTCTGTGTCATCTGTGCTGCTCTTTGTGTCCCCAAACACCAGGAAGTGGCAAGACAACACTCATGCAGCGGCTGTACGCTCACATGCATGGGAGCAAGATCGCCCACTACCTCATCAACCTCGACCCGGCCGTCCCTTCCGTGCCCTACCCTGCCAGCATTGACATTCGAGACACTGTGAACGTTTTTTCCCTCACCTTCCCAACCCCCAACCCCCTACAGGCAGTGGCTAAACGACTCTCATGCAGCGCCTATACGCGCACATGCATGGGAGCAAGATAGCCCACTACCTAATCAACCTGGACCCTGCCGTGCCCTCTGCTGCCCTCCGTGCTCTCCCCCCCAAACAGGCAGTGGAAAAACAACTCTCATGCAGCCGCTATACGCACACATGCACGGGAGCAAGGTCGCCCACTACCTCATCAACCTGGACCCTGCCGTGCCCTCCCTCGCCAGCATTGACATCTGAGACACCGTGAACGTTTTTTTTCCCTCACCTGCCAACTCCCAACCGCCTCCAGGCAGTGGCAAGACAACCCTCATGCAGCGCCTTTACGCACATATGCATGGGAACAAGATAGCCCATTACCTCATCAACCTGGACCCTGCTGTGCCCTCCGTGCCCCCCTCTTCGCTTCTCTTATGCAGGCAGTGGCAAGACCACCCTGATGCAGCGCCTCTATGCGCACATGCACGGCAGCAAGATAGCCCACTACCTCATCAACCTCGACCCAGCTGTGCCTTCCGTGCCCTACCTCGCCAATATTGACATTCGAGACACGGTGAACTACAAGAACGTGATGAAGGAGTATGGGCTGGGACCCAATGGGGCTATTTTGACCTCACTCAACCTTTTCACAACCAAGATTGACGAGGTATGTGGCCTTCTGGGCTGTGCTCTTGCCTCCTGTGCCCTTCTGTAGCCTCCTGCTGTGCCCTGCTCTGCCCTCCTGTGCCATGCTGTCCCCTCCGTGTCCTACCTCGCCAATATTGACATTCGAGACACGGTCAACTACAAGAACGTGATGAAGGAGTATGGGCTGGGACCCAATGGCGCGATTTTAACGTCACTCAACCTTTTCACAACCAAGATTGACGAGGTACGAAGCCTTATCAACCCCATCAACCTCAACCGCTGAATGGGGCGATTCTGACTTCTCTACACCTTTTCACAACCAAGATTGACGAGGTACGCAGCCTTCGGAACCTCCGTGCCCTGCTGTCCCTGCTGTGCCATGCTGTGCCCTGCTGTGCCCTCCGTGCCCTACCTCGCCAACATTGACATTCGAGACACGGTCAACTACAAGAATGTGATGAAGGAGTATGGGCTGGGACCCAATGGGGCCATTCTCACTTCTCTCAACCTCTTTACGGCAAAGATTGACGAGGTATGTACTATGTGCTCTCTGGATCCCAACATCTCAGCATCTGAGGCACGGTTGTACACTGTCAGCTTTAAGAACGTGATGAAGGCCGAATGGCTTTTGGTTAGGCCAAATGGTCGCTGAAGTTGTCGTTTTGACATTGCTGAATCTCGTTCTCTTTACTACTAGCCTCCACTACTATTTTCCTTACTGAATCCGTCTCTCGGATTTCAGAGAGCAACTTTCTGCGTCTGTCTCTCGGCCTCCACTCCGCTCGCTCTTTCCCTCCCTTCTGTTTCGTTATTGTCACACACACCTCTCAGGTGATCACGCTCGTGGAGCATCAAGCTAGTCACTGTGTCTGTCTCTTAGCATCCGCCGTTTCCCTTTCCCTTCTCCGCCCTTTCCACTTCGTTGTTGTCACACTTGTCCCTCCCACCTCCCAGGTAATCACACTCGTGGAGCGTCGACCAGCTTTCCGTGTCTGTCACATGGACTCACCTCCCTCCCCTTCCCTTCCTTTTTGTTTCGTTTTTGTCACCTCCCAGGTAATCACACTCGTGGAGCGCCGTGCAGCTTTCGGTGTCTGTCATGTAGACTTACCTCCCTCCCCTTTCCCTTCCTTTCTGTGTTTCATTTTCGTCACACCTCAGGTGATCACCCTCGTGGAGCGCCATGCAGCTTTCGGTGTCTGTCATGTAGACTTACCTCCCTCCCCTTTCCCTTCCTTTCTGTGTTTCATTTTCGTCACACCTCAGGTGATCACCCTCGTGGAGCGCCGTGCAGCTTTCGGTGTCTGTCATGTAGACGTACCTCCCTCCCCTTTCCCTTCCTTTCTGTGTTTCATTTTCGTCACACCTCAGGTGATCACACTCGTGGAGTGGCAAGCCGACTCGCTCGACTACGTTTTCATTGACACGACCACTCTCTCTGTCGTTCTCTCAGTCTCTGCTCGCCCCTTCCCCCCCCACTCCTTCTTTGTTCTTTTCACACTCCTCGTTACTGTCACACCTCGCAGGTTATCACACTCGTGGAGCGCCGGGCCGACTCGCTCGACTACGTTTTCATCGACACACCCGGCCGGGGCCATTCTACTGAGCCCATTCTACGTGTTGCTAAGCCTCTTTTCCTCACAACTGTTTCGCATTCCTGTTTGTTACTGTTGCACACGCCTCTCAGGTGATCAAACTGGTGGAGCGCCGAGCCGACTTGCTCGACTACGTTTTCATCGACACGCCCGGGCAGATCGAAATTTTCACCTGGTCAGCCTCCGGAGCAATCATTACCGAAGCCTTCGCCTCCACCTTCCCCACCGCCGTTTGTTTCGTAGTGGACACACCCCGGGCGGCCAACCCCGGCACCTTTATAAGCAGCATGCTGTACGCGTGTGGGATTCTGTACAAGACGCAGTTACCGCTGCTGCTGGCGTTTAACAAGACCGACGTCGCACGGCACGATTTCGCTGTTGAGGTGTGTGTGTGGGGCAAGTGCAAGGGTAGTTGGGGTTAACGGTTACTTTGGGTTCTGGGACCTAGGTTTTGTAGTGGGCACCCCCGCGCGGCGAATCCCGGCACCTTTATAAGCAGCATGCTGTACGCATGTGGGATTCTGTACAAGACGCGGTTACCGCTGCTGCTGGCGTTTAACAAAACCGACGTTGCCCGGCACGACTTTGCTGTTGAGGTGTGTGTGTGGGGCAAGTGCAAGGGTATTGGGGTTAACGGTTACTTTGGGTTCTGGGACTGTGGTTTCTGTACGAGACGCGGTTACCGCTGCTGCTGTTGTAGTGGACACCCCCCGGGCGACGAATCCCGGCACCTTTATAAGGATTGAACCTAGTTGCTGCCACGTAAAGACTATGGCTCCCGTCTGGGGTTCCATCGTCACCCCCCGGGCGGCCAACCCCAGCACCTTTATAAGCAGCATGCTGTACGCGTGTGGGATTCTGTACAAGACGCGGTTACCGCTGCTATTGGCGTTTAACAAGACTGACGTCGCGCGTCACGACTTTGCCATTGAGGTGTGTACATGGGGTTCAAGGGTATTTGGGGTATAAGGGGTTGTGGGATGAGATTCTGTGCAAGACGCGGTTACCGATGTGGCACGGCACGATTTCGCTGTTGAGGTATGCTGGGGTTTAGGGGTTCGAAAAGGCACCTTCATAAGTAGCATGCTGTACGCGTGTGGGATTCTGTACAAGACGCGGTTACTGCTGCTGCTGGCGTTTAACAAGACTGACGTTGCACGGCACGACTTTGCAGTTGAGGTATGTTGGACTTTGGGTCAAGGGAATTCAGGTATTTGGGGTATAAGGGGTTGTGGGATTCTGTACAAGACGCGGTTACCGCTGCTGCTGGCGTTTAACAGTCCTGCCCCATTCCCCCATTCCTTTCTCTCCCCCCCCTCTTCCCTCCACCTCCCCCCTCTGTACCAGTGGAGGCGGGACTTTGAAGCCTTTCAAGCAGCAGTGGATAGAGACCCGTCCTACGCCGCCTCGCTCTCTCTCTCTCTCTCGCTCCCTCCGCCGTTTTTTCCGTCACCCCCCGTCTGCATCCTCCATCTGTCTTCTCCCCCCTCCTCTCCCCTTCTCCCTCGTACCAGTGGATTCGTGACTTTGAAGCCTTTCAAGCAGCAGTGGATCAAGATCCTTCCCACGCCGCCTCTCTCTCCCGCTCCCTCTGCCTCTCCGTTCTCCCTCTGAACCTCCCATCCCTCTCCATGCACCCCCCACCCACCTCCTTTGCCAGTGGATGCGGGACTTTGAAGCCTTTCAAGCAGCAGTTGACCGAGATCCTTCCTACGCGGCCTCTCTTTCGCGCTCCCTCTGCCTTGCCTTGGAGGAGTTTTACTGCAACCTGCACGCTGTGGGCGTGTCGGCTGTTACAGGAGGGGGGATCAATGAGTTTTTCACTGCTGGCGAGGCGGCCAGAAAAGAGTACATGGAAGGCTACAGGTGAGAGCAACTTAGCTTCAGGAGCATTGAAAGCTGGCTAGGAAAGGGGGCATGTTTCGGATGAAATGGCTTTGACCGTTGTGATTTTTTTCTCTCTCGCTCGCTTTCGTTTTCTTTGCTTGGAATGCAGGGTTGACTTGGAGAAGATGAGAGCGGAGAAGGAGAAGAAAGAGGCGGAGAGGCAGAGTGCGGAGATGGCCCGGTTTCGCGCGGACTCTGCGGGGGAGAGCGATGCGTTGGCCAGACGAACTGGGAAGATGAAATTGGATGATGATGGGGAAGGGGTAGAGGAGGAAGATGAGGATTTGATTGAGGAGGAAATGGAGGAGGATGATATGGAAGACGAGGACGATGACCTGTAACCAATCGCATGTGATGACAACAATGAAGAAGATCAAAATGTTTTGAAATGTGTGTGTCTAGCGTTTCAAACAATCGTGACCACTGCAACACTGGCAGTACTGAATCACAACTGTTAACGCGGACATCCCGTTTCTCGTATCTACACCACCACCATTCAAGCCGCCATCATTTTCGCCTCATCCTCGCCGTTCATAGCCAGTCCGCCATTCCCCGCATCGCGAATTCGGACCACCAACCCTCCGCCCGCCATCGCCCCATCCCTGACTCAATCTTCCGTTCACCAGCACGATCTCGTTCCGCGCATCCCGCCAACTGCGCATCCCGCACGCGCGTCCCTCCTTGCGCCAACTGCCTTCCGCCTCGTCCCGCTTTTCCTGCCGCGCTACCCGTAACCAGAGCCGTCTTAACGATCCTTCCTCTCCGTTTTCTAGAATACGAGGCGGCGATTTTATCCCTCTCAAATCAAATGATCATCGTCCTCCCGATCCGTTCGGCATGTTTGTCGAGCCGCTTTCAGCCACGCGTCGCGGCAACTTACCCGCCTTCCGCGGCCGCCGCCATCCCGAAACGCGATCGCCTCTCCGTCCAACCTTTCCGCCCATCGTTCCGCCCATCGTTCCGCCCATCATTCCTCCCATTCTTCCCCACTTTCTCCCGCGTGCACAACAGCTAGATCTCCGTCGTTTCCTCCCGTTCCTCTGTCCGTCAGTCCCCTGATCATGGGACCAGTTACATCGCGACTTATTACCCCATCAGCTAGCTGCTCCGTTAGTAGCTTCTCCATTAGATCCATTAGTAACCTCTCGAGAATATTAGACGGGGCCACCATCAGCAGCTACAGCTTAAAGCCGTCTTTAACCTCCAGTGCTAGCACTCCCATTCCTTCGTCTGCCCTTTCGCCTGCCTTTTCGCCTGGCCTTTCGCCTGCCCTGTCGTCTTTCCTCTCTGGTCGGCGATCGTTTGGCAGCAAGATCAAAGTGAAACCCTACTCGTGAGTCTCCCCGGCTTCTGTCACACCCGTTTCTGTCACATCCCGTGTCTATCACATGTCGGACCCGTTTCTCCCTTGTCTGTCACATGTTCTGTCACCCTTCATTTCTGTCACAACCAATTTGGTTCGAACCCTGTTCAACTCAAGTCCTATTTCTTTCTCCCTCCGTCCCTCCATCCCCACTCCAGGCTTACTTCTCTCGTTCCCCTCATCTTATTTGTTACCTCACCTTCCCTGCCCATCCTCCCAGTCTGAGGCAATCCTTGCTCATCTCAACTCCTATTTCTCTCTCGCTCCTTCTGTCCATCCCCACTCAAGTCCCATTCTCTTTCCCTCCTTATGTCCATCCCCACTCCCGTCGTTTCCCTTCTTCCCTCCACCCATTTGTCACTTTCAACTCCCCCCATCCTTCTTGCATCTTTCCCCTCCCATTGTGAGTCTTCGAAACGTTGTCTCTAAGCTGCTAGTTAACATCGAGTACAAGTGGTGGCCACCTAAGAAGTTCTATTCTGAAGTTGTGTCATGGAATTTAATTTGCCAATCCACCACCAACCCAATTTGCTGCAATTTCTCAAAAAAAAAAAAAAAAAAAAAAAAAAAAACACACACACACACACACACACACACACACACACACACATCACAACAGAATTGTGCCACTCCTCCCCTCTCCCCTCTGACTGTGCCCAGCTCACTCAAGCGCCGGTTCAAGCTGCTAGCAAATGGAGATTACAAGCGGTGGCGGGCAGGCAAGAGGCATAACGCCAGCACCAAGGTATGTCTGATCTGAGACTGAAGCTTCCTAAGTTATATGTCTACAATGCCTCAAGATAACATCAGATATGAAACTTTACTTGTACACATCTTTTCATCCTTTCCTTCTCCCACTTCACATTTTCCTTCCTTTCCCTTCCCCCTTTCCACCTGTTCCCTCACTCACTTTTTGTCCCACCTCACCTCTGAATCCGCTCTCTATTCACTAATCCACAGACCAAGAAGCAGAGGAGACAGCTGCGGCAGCCATCAGTGGTCCCTCCAGGGCTAAAACAACCCATGCGGTACCTGGGCTTTAAGAGGTAGCACATCCGCTTCAAGACTAAGCACCTTGGATTTGAAAGGTTGCCATGATTTGAAGCAGAGGAGGCAGCTGCAGCAGCCATTAGTGGTGCCTCTTGGGCTAAAACAACCCATGGAATGGGGTACTTTGGTTTTAAGAAATAGCACATTGCTTTCAGACGTAGCCTAGCCACTTGACCTAGAATTAGAGGCAGCTGCAGCAACCACCTATGGTGCCTCCAGGGTTTAAGCAGCCCATGAGGTGTCTTGGCTTCAAAACTTGGATTCATGAATTGCCCCAAAGCAGAGCTGTGTTTTGACTCTATTGGCTTGCTCAACCATATTTCGAGTTACAGCGCAGCATTGGAATGGATCACGGAACAAAATACGGTAGCATTTACAAAACAATTGTTCACCCCAGATTGTGCACGCTCGCTGTACACCACTACAGCATCTTGTTGCATGCATGGCCTTGCACCAGTCAAACAACACCCACCTCTCCCATTTGAGGAGATTATGCTATGCACCTGTGCTGAAAGTCGCCTGCTGGCTGAAAGGTTGTCATGCCCATTTGAGCAGGTGCTGAAAGTCGCCTGCTGGCACATTCCAGTTTAGCATCACCCTGGATGCCACTTCACTATAGTCACAAACCACCTCTCCCTTTGACACGAACTCCTTTATGTGCAGCACACCTTACCCTACCCTTCACAGCAGCTTCCTGGCAAGTTCCTCCACTGACAAGGGGCGCCCCACAAGCCACAGCAACACCCTTCAGAGCCACCTGTTGATGCGCATCAGAAACTTCTGGGGCGCCTTGTGAGATAAAGGACTTTCGGGGAGATTTTTGGGGAGCCTCAACAGATTCTGAGATGCCTTTTGAAAGAGGGGAGGCCTTTCGAGGTGCTTGCTCATGCGCCTCACAAACTTCAAGACTTGCCTTTACCCTCATGCCCTTGTGCTCGGCACACCGCACTCGCCCTTCTACCGCTGCCCGCCTACAAGCTCCCCCGTCAGAGAGTGGAGCCCCACAAACTTTGATTGCAGGGACCCCTTGTCTTTTCTCAGGTGTTCTGTCAGGGGTTTGGTCTGTTGGTCTACCTGGTGGTTTGCTTGGTGACCTGTCATGTGGTTGTCTTTCCTGGGGCTTAGCAGCAGCATGATAGGTAGTAGAAGGAGAAACAGCACCCGAGGCAGTAGGTGAATCCAGAGGAAGGGGAGAAGCCGCTGCAGCAGCAGCAGCAGCAGAAGCAGCAGCAGCAGAAGCAGAAGCGTGAGAGATAGCAGGGCCAACAGAAACAGGAGTGACGAGTCGAGCGACGGGGAGGAAGGGGAAGGCAACGGCTACACGGCGGGAGAAAGACGGGCCGACTTGCAGTTTGGTCAAGAGGCGGTCGTGGCGGCGGTGGTGGTTGTTGCAGACGTTCCAGATGTAATCAAAGGAAGAGAGGAGCAGGGTTTCCGTTGCAGCAGCTTCTGACTTTGTCGCAGCCTGGGAAAGAGGGATGGGGATGGGATGAAGATGGGAAACAGGTATGAAGACGGGGAAGGGGATGAGGATGAGGGTGTGAGAAGGACTGGCTGAATTGCAGCTTGGTCAAGAGGCGGTCGTGGCGGCGGTGGTGGTTGTTGCAGACGTTCCAAATGTAGTCGAAGGAGGAGAGGAGGAGGGTCTCCGTTGCAGCAGCTTCTGCCTTTGTTGCAGCCTGGAAAAGAGGGATGGGGATGGGGTGAGGATGGGACCGGGATGGGGACGGGGAAGTCGATGAGGACGGGGAAGGGGATGAGGAAGATGGCGGGAGAAGGACGGGCTGACTTGGAGCTTGGTCAAGAGGCGGTTGTGGCGGCGGTGGTGGCTGTTGCAGACATTCCAAACGTAGTCGAAGGAAGAAAGGAGGAGGGTTTCCGTTGCCGCTGCTTCTGCCTTTGTAACAGCCTGAGGGAGGGGGGAGTGAGGCGTGGGGATGGGGATGGGGATGGGGATGGGGATGGTGATGGTGATGAGGGGGGGAGTGGGAAATGAAGGGTCGACTTGGAGTTTGGTTAAGAGTCGCTCGTGGCGGCGGTGGTGGTTGTTGCAGACGTTCCAGATGTAGTCGAAGGAGGAGAGGAGGAGGGTTTCCGTTGCAGCAGCTTCTTCATTGCTGGTTGCCTGGGAGAGGGGGACAGAGATGGGACGAGGATGGGGAAGAGAGTGGGGGAAGGACGGGCAGACTTGGAGCTTGGTCAAGAGGTGGTCGTGGCGGCGGTGGTGGTTGTTGCAGACGTTCCAGACGTATTCAAAGGAGGAGAGAAGGAGGGTCTCTGTGGATGCCGCTTCTGCCTTTGTCGCAGCCTGGTTTTTGAGGCGCCTCAAAAATGGTCTCTGTGGATGCCGCTTCTGCCTTTGTCGCAGCCTGGGAGCACGGGTGGGGGGGTAGGTGCGGATGGGGATGGGGATGGGGATGGGGATGGGGATGATGTTAAGGAAAAAGGAGGGAGAAGGAGGGCCCGACTTGCATCTTGGTCAAGATTCGCTCATGGCGGCGACGATGGTTGTTGCAGACGTTCCAGCTGTAGTCGAAGGAGGAGAGGAAGAGGGTCTCTGTTGCCGCTGCTTCTGCCTTGCTAGACGCCTGGGAAAGATCGGAGAGCGAGGGAAGGGGACGAGGATGGGAATGGGGATGGGGATGAGGATGGGGATAAGTGGGGGAGACAGAGGAAAAGGATGGCCCAACTTGCAGCTTGGTTATGAGGCGCTCATGGCGGCGGTGGTGGTTGTTGCAGACGTTCCAGATGTAGTCGAAGGAAGAGAGGAGGAGGGTCTCCGTTGCCGCTGCCTCTGCCTTTGTTGCAGCCTGGGAAAGAGGGGATCGAGGGATTGGAATGGGATGATAACAAACACCACAGACAACAAACCCCCCGACCGCTGACACTCTGATAGCAAATACCTCGACCAGCAAATGCCCTCTGTGTTCCTTCCTACCCACGGCTTACAGCGGTCTATCAGACCCCTTTGAGGGCATAGTCCTCTGCAAACACCCCTTCAAAGAGCTCCCTCAGGTGCTTTGACTCAACAATCAAACCCCCACCAACAGACGAATGCTCTCTGCGTTCCTTCCTATCCACATCTTTCAGGAGTCCATTGAAAGATTAGCGCATAGTCCTGTGCAAATACCCCTTCGAAGAGCGCTGTAGCTTCTTCACTATGGGAGCAGAGAAATGCACTCTGTGTTCGTCCCTACCCACAGCACGGCTTACAGGAGTCCAGCGGAAAATGAGGGAATAGTCCTCCGCAAACACCCCTTCAAAGAGCTCCCTCAGGTGCGACCCTGACTGCCCGTACTGCTGCATCCTGCTCCTCACGCTCTCTGAATGCCCCACATACACCACCCGCACCGGCAACCCCTTCAGCCGCCGCTGCCGCCGAACCACCCGGTTCGGCAGGACCCCCAGCTCGTACACGCCAGGGCCGGTTTGGCTGGGGAGGTTTGCTATGCGGTACCGTGTGGTTCCTGGTATGCCTTGGGCATGGGTTGACCAACCATCAGCGGCGATTAGGAGCTGGGGAAGGGAGGAGGAGGAAAGCAATGGGAGGGGGAACGGACGAGATGGGAAGAGGGGAACAAGCGGCGATGTTCGAGTGAGCTTTTTTTTATAAGAGAAAGAGCATACATAGGGTGACACACAACTTTCCGAGGCTGGCACAATAACGAAATTGGGAGAGCACGCTGTGCGCAAATGACTGTTGTTCGGTAGGAATGACTGACATTTTGTATAATGATTGTCATTCTGCAACCGAATTCGTGCACTTACCTTCCAGTCCGAGAAGAGCACATCATGTGTTACTCGCCAGCATTTCTCCCTCAGCGGCTTCGAGGTTTCACTATGGCTAACTTCGTCGACAGCGTGCCTCCGAGGCATGGGGCCTTTCTTTGTTGTTCTGACGTCGCTGTTGCTGGTGCGTGAAGCCATGGAGCTGACGCTCGCGAGTTTCGTCTGTTATAACTGTGAGTAATGCTAGTACGGCGAGTCCCTGCGTCAGCTCGATACTTGGCGAGCATTAAACTACGACGAACGCAGATGGCGGCTCATGGCGTCAGATAAGCGCAAGAGCAACTGATTATTTGTCGACGCGTTTCTAGGACGACGGAACGGAACAGAATGGCATTACTTGTACGCAATCTGACGTATGAACTAGACGACTTGACTTCAGATATGTCTTGCACAAGGCAAAAAAGACTTCGATTTGAGGGTCCCTGACGCCCGTTGGCGGATGGCACATCCGCGATCTGCAACGGCTCTTTCGGTCACCTTTCAAATGTTTCGCAATCCCACGATTTGTTCGTATATAGTTTCGCAACGCCCCCGATTCCTTCGTGCGTGGTTTCGCAACGCGAAGTGTCACCACCCCAGATTCCAGCCGTCGCTTTCGGGATATCGGTTTTCGGAGCGTTGCGACCTCGTCATCACGGCAACCGGAAGCACCGTAGGAACAACGAAAAAAATTGCACAGAACCTTTCGTGAACCGTCGTGAACCAGCATGGCACGACGGAGTTTTCACGCGGGACTCCCATCCTCGATAGTGGAAGCTGCAATTGACAGTTGGCGGTTGAGAATTCTCAACTGCCCCACCGAACCTATATTCTATATGACATCCATCGAAACCGTCGGCATTTTCGAGGCTCAGCGAACTCTCGTACATTGCCACGTTTGCCAGAATTCTTGGGCCTATCAGAGCAGGAAACGAAATTCGTGGAGATTCCCAGGGGAGGAGAATGCAACACACATACCGCATGGGGCAACTCGAATTGACACACTAGTGACTGACGGCCGAGCGAACTAGTGTCACCTCCACGCTTGCATTTCTTCCGGCTGGCCTAGGTACAGGCCGACCTCTCTTTGCCCGTGAATTCACGGTGCGTAGTTTCCTTTTTTCCAGCCTTTGCGACGCTTCCGATCGCTCAGCTGGCCGGAATGTCGGCGACGATGTCCTCGCTTCAAGCCAGCACGGGTGTTACCCGTGCTGTATCCGCGTTAAGCGTCGCACCGATATCGTTGTCCGCTCACAGCAACTCGCGTTTCCTCCTCGTGCCGACCAGGAACCATTACACCCCCGATGGTCGGGTTACCAAAAGACAATCCAATTTCTCGCGAATTACGAAAGAGTTTCGTAGAGGACCATCAGTCCATTCGCGTCGCGATTCGAACCCGCAGACTTTATGCGGAGCGAGAGAGCGCAGCGGGAGAAGCGGGAGTGTGCGTGGGAGCAGGAGTCGAACTGTCATGGCGTCAATTAGCGCGGATTCAGAAGGTGAGGTTCGTCGGTCATCCTTCAGATTTTCTAAAAGGACCATCTGTGCAGCCGGGTGGCGATTCGAACCCGCTGACTCGTACATGCGGAGCGAGAGAGCGCAGCGACAGCAGCGGGAGTGTGCGTGGGAGCAGATGCCGAACTGCCATGGCGTCGATCAGCGCGGACTCAGAAGGTGAGGGTCATCGGTCATCCCTTATTAGAAGTAAAATTTGACATGAATCTCGACATCCAGGGTTTGGAACGTGGTGTAGAATTATCTTGACATCCAGGTGTGAGACAGACTTGACGTTCATGCATGAGATTAGACTTGACAATCAGGCTTGAGATTAGATATTCAGGCTTGAAAATTACATCCAGGCGTGAGATTCGACATTCAGGCATGAGAGTTTAGGCCATCCCCAGCCTTCCCCCACCCCACTCCCACCCCACCAGCCTCGGCCACAATCGTGTGGTTCAAGCACGACTCGAGGGTAAACGAACGACCATCCAGCTCTGCACGCTTTCACTGTTTTTTTTTATAGAGCGCCATTCCGCACATCCCCCTTCCCCATCTCCTCCCTTCCCCTCACTACACAACCCACCAGCCTCCACGACCATCTGAGGGTCAACGACCATCCAGCCCTGCATGCTCTCTTTCCTTCAATCTATGGAGTGCAAATTTTCATCCGTCCCTCCTTAACCCACCCCACCAGCCTCCACGACGATCGTGTGGTTCAAGCACGACCTGAGGGTCAACGACCATCCAGCCCTGCACGCGCTCTCTGCTGCTGCTGCTGAACTGACTGAATCCGCACGACTAGCGTCAGCAACAACAAGCCATGCGATTCCGCTCTTCGTTCTTGATCCGAATCTCCTGTCAGGTAGCAAGCAGTTCTTTTGTCTCTGCTCTTTCTGTCCTCCCATCTTACTCATATCACCCTTACTCTTTACATAGCAGTCTCAATGTGTCCCACGTACTCGCCTCTTACTCGGCCCCTTCTTCCCACTACTCTCACTTACCTCCATCTCTTACTTGCTCCTTACTCGCTCACCCACCGTGTTCCCAGCCCTGCCTGCCAGACAGCTACCTGTGTTCCTCTCCTCCATCATCGGCCACCTCTCGTTGACTGTCCCACCTGCTCCCACCAGCCCTCCCTGCCAGCCAGCTACCGCTGCTCCTCTCGGCCATCACCTCCCTGCGCTCCTCCCTTCGTTCCCTCGACTCGGACCTCATCATTGCTCGAGGGGACTCCTCCACTGCAATTGCAAAGCTATGCAAGCAGGTACGCGGGGAGTCCTTTCTGATTTACCTTTTACCCCTCGATACAATTCTCTCTTCTCCTCTTCCATCCTGACACACATCCCCCTCCTCGCCCTCCGGTGCACAACACCCTACCTCCCACCCTTTCCCGCCCTCCCACCATTTCCCCCTCCCACCCTTTCCACCTTCCCCGCTCTCCTTCCCCACCCCATTTTCCTCTGAACCAATCCCCCCTGCGCTCCTGCTCACAACTGCAGATTCCTTCTGTCCGCGCTGTAACATCAGAAGAGGAGGTGGAAACCTGCTGGAAGTTTCCTCTGGAGCAAGTCCGGTCATCTTTGCTAGCACCAGGGCAGGAGCAAGGGGAAGCGGAGGAGGAGAGGAGGGTCTCTCTGGAGACGTGGCGAGCTGTGTTGCACAACTGCCAGGTATGGGTGGGCGACTCCACTCCATTTGACAGTCCAACCACATATGGCTGGCCAGGTGTGGTTCAGTGTCAGCGAGACATCCCTTGCCCTGCACGGATGTCAGTCAGGCTCGATTTCCAGTGCTGCCAGGTTTGACCCAAGCATGCACCACCACCAGGGCCCCCCAGATCTGATGTCCCTTCCTTCTTCATTCCTTGTACGTTCCTTCTCCACCCATCCCACCACCAGGACCTCCTGGCACTCGAGTTCACCACCTTCAAGCAGCAGAGGGGGCAGCCCTGCCCTCCTGTCTTAAAATGTCTCAGTGATTCCCTGGCTCTCTCCTGCGTCCTCTATAAGCCTATTCTTTCTCCGTCTTCTCCGCCCCTCTGTCCCACCGCCAGGATCCCCTCGCACTCGAGTTCACCACCTTCAAGCAGCAGAGGGGGCAGCCCTGCCGTCATGTTTTCAACACTCTTATGCCCCTTGTTCTCCTTCTTCCCCACACCTCCCACCACCAGGACCCCCTGGCACTCGAGTTCACCACCTTCAAGCAGCAGAGGGGGCAGCCCTGCCGTCATGTTTTCAACACTCTTATGCCCCTTGTTCTCCTTCTTCCCCACACCTCCCACCACCAGGACCCCCTGGCACTCGAGTTCACCACCTTCAAGCAGCAGAGGGGGCAGCCCTGCTCGCCTCTGCCTCCCCCCTCTGTGCTTCCCCCCCTCCCTGCTGGCATCGACTCTGGTGCGTTCTTTCCCTTCCCATGATGCCTTTTAATCCGACTCAAGAAGTGCCCCCATCTGCCATGAAGTCTGTGCGTGGCGCTGAAGTTGCTTTTGAGTCGACTCAAACGTCGATTCTGGTGGGTTCTTCCCTTCCTGTGATGACTTCTAATCTGACGCAAGAAGTGCCCCCATCTGCCATGAAGTCTGAGTGGCACTAAATTTGTCCCTCCCCCAGTGTACGGGTCCCTCTCACTCGCAACTCATCTCTTCCCCGGTGTGCCCAACAATAGCTATCAACTCAAAAAATAGCATTTCGCATTCGTGAAAGTTGATACAACCTGATAGACCACTCCTCCCCTTCCCGCCTCATTTTACTTCTCCCACTTTTCTTTCTCTCTCGTTCTCTCCCCTCACTCATCGCAGGAGCATTGCCTTCACTAGAGGAGCTCTTTGCACTGGCAGGGAAAGCCATGGACAAAACAAGCGTTCAAGAACCAACCCCACAAATTCCACAAGTAGACGGAGAGGCATCCGCGCTCTCTCTCCTATCACAGTACCTCCAGGCCGATTTGAAAGGGGGAAGGAGGGGAACAGGAGAAGCTGAGCTCGCAGGTGGTAACCCTGTAACCGCGAGTAAGCCACTAAGCGAAACAATTGCCGAGCTGGAGGTGGTTCCCCGGGCGTCGTTCCACGCGCTCTTTGCTCCCGCGCTCTCCCTCGGGCTGCTCTCCCATCGCTACGTGCACGCTGCTGCTCGTGGTCACGGTGGCAAGGGCTCGACAGCTCAAGCTGCGATCGATACTGTGGAGGCAAGAGAGGTGTGTATGTGCGGTGTGTGGCATTGTAATGGGTTGCCTAGTGAGCGAAATCTGAGTGGGCAATGAGGCCAGAGAGCTGGAGGTGGTTTCCCGGGCGTCGTTCCACGCGCTCTTTGCTCCCGCGCTCTCCCTCGGGCTGCTCTCTCATCGCTACGTGCACGCTGTCGCTCGCCGTAGCAGTGGCGGTGGGAGGGGCTCGACTGCGGCAGCTGCAATGGACACTGTGGAGGCTAGAGAGGTGCGTGTGTGTGTGGATTGGTGTTGTGTGGCATTGTAACGATGTGCCTTAATGAGGCTGCTCTCTCATCGCTATGTGGATGTTGCCGCTCGCCGTAGTAGTGGTGGTGGTTGGGGCTCGACTGCGGCAGCTGCAATCGACACTGTGGAGGCCAGAGAGGTGAGTCTGTGTGAGGGTGTGTTGTGTAACGAGGCTTCCCTCAAATTTATTTCGTGCATGCTGCCCGTTACAGCAATATGCTGTGCTGAGGAAGAGGAAAGGAGAAAGCGGTGAAATTGCGGTTAAAGGAAGAACTCGTTTTATTGCAGTTTGCTTTGTTTCAAATGCGGCCGACCTTTTCGGAAGGGTGCGAGGGGAGCTTGAGAAAGACATGTGATGTGGGGGAGAAGGTGTGTGAGAGGACGGACAAAGATCTGTATTGGGTGGAGCGAGTGGTAGCGTGTAACCGCCCCAAGAATGATACGGCTCTTAAGTGTCGCAGGGGGTTTATACGCCACCACTCACTCCACCCACTCCAGATTCACGTCCAACCTGTCACACACCTACCCCCCTACATCACATGTCTTTCCCAAGCCCCCCTCGCACTCCTGCGAAATACCACCAGTGACCGTATTAGAGCCAAAACCGTTCTAACCAAAAAAATTCTCCGCCTTCTCCTACACCTACTCACAAAGGACGTTTGTGGAAGGTGAAAACAAAAGTGAGGAAGTCATTTTGATTGTGACCAGTTGTGTGTGTGAGCTTCTCAATGGATAGTGCTTCGCCTAAGCCTATGTTGAAGATCACACGGTTCGTTTCTCCTGCCCTGCCTCTTCATTGTATATCACTCCATCCCCCAACCTCTTCTCTGCCTTCCATTTTCCCTCCTCCTTCGTAGCTACTCATCCATCCTCTCCAACTCTTCCCTCCTCCTCTCCTCTACCCTCTCCTCTTCCCGTCACTCCACTCCTCTGCTTTCCGCTCTCCTCTCCTTATCCCCCACAATGGCACACACTCCACACTGCTTTGCCTCGTTTGAGTGGACAAAAAGGCCTCCTCTCCTTTCCTTTCCCTTCCCCTCCCCTCAACTCTCCCCCCTTTCCCACCCCTCCCATCCCATCCTTCACAGTGGCACACGGAGATGGCTCTTCGGCCCCACACAGCCATGCCTCCTCCCAACCCCTTCTCCTCCTCTTCCTCCTCCTCCTCCTCCTCCTCCTCCTCCTCCTCCTCCTCCTCCTCCTCCTCCTCCTCCTCCTCCTCCTCCTCCTCCTCCTCCTCCTCCTCCTCCTCCTCCTCCTCCTCCTCCTCCTCTTCTGATACAGACACCTCCTTGACCACCTCATCTGATTATTCCTCTAGTGAGCTCTCAGATTCTGACTTCTCCTATTCATCCCTGTCCTCTTCAACCTCCTCTGCCTCCTCGTCATCTGCATCCGAGTCAGAGGATGAAGGCAGAAACTCCTTCCTATCGTTCCCTCCCTCTGGCGTGTTCGAACCGACGGTTGGCCACTGGAGGTGGAGGGGCGCTCTTATTCAGGTGAGCCTTTTGTTCCTCCTCCTCCTCCTCGTCATCTGCATCGGAGTCAGAGGGTGAAGGCAGCAGCGCCTTCCTATCCTTCCCTCCCTCTGACGAGTTCGAACCAACTGTTGGCCACTGGAGATGGAGGGGCGCTCTCATTCAGGTACACGTCTTGATGCTTCTTGCTTTCGGTTTATGCTTTTCCTTTTCCTTTGCTCGTCACCTTTTGCGATTCACATTCTGGCAGCCCTTTGTGAAATTACGCAACCTCTAGCAACCTCTCGCATACCCCTGTCCCATCCTCCCAACACATTCTCCTCCCAGTACGGCACAGCAGGCACAGAAGGACCAGCTATTCTTTTTGTTCACGGGTTCGGGGCGTTCTGGCAGCACTTTCGGGACGTCATGCGGCCTCTAGCAGCCTCCGGGCACCGCGTTTGGGCGCTCACTCTACCATCCTCCCCCACATTCCCCTCCCAGTATGGGTGTGCAGGCACAGAAGGGCCAGCCATTCTCTCTGTTCATGGATTCGGAGCGTTTTGGCAGCATTTTCGAGACGTCATGTGGCCCCTAGCAGCCTCCGGGCACCACGTTTGGGCGCTCACACTACCACTTCCTTTCCGCACCTCTTTCAACCCCATTCCACCTCCAGTATGGGTCAGCAGGCACAGAGGGACCTGCCATTCTCTTTGTTCACGGCTTTGGGGCGTTCTGGCAGCATTTTCGCGACATTATGCGGCCCCTAGCAGCATCCGGGCACCGCGTTTGGGCGCTCACGCTGCCCGGGTTCGGCCGGGCAGAAAAACCTTTCTGGTCGTACACACAGTACGTGTGGCGCGACTGCGTGGGGGATTTTATCCGCGAGGTGGTCGGCGAGCCGGTGGTTCTGGGTGGCAACTCAATCGGAGGTAAGTGCCAGTGGTAGAAGGCACTTGCTGGGTTCCAAGTGCGTGGTTAGTTTTATCCGCGAGGTGGTCGACGAGCCGGTGGTTCTGGGCGGCAACTCCATTGGAGGTGGGTGGCAGCGGGCGGTAACTCAAGCAAGAGTACTATGGCTTATGAGGGTGGCTGAGTAAGGGACTGCGTGGGGGATTTTATCCGCGAGGTGGTCGGCGAGCCGGTGGTTCTGGGCGGCAACTCAATCGGAGGTGGGTGGCAGCGGGCGGTAACTCATTAGTTGTATTGGGTTCTGGGTGGAATTATGCCTTTCCTTTTGAGTATGGGACTGCATGGTGGATTTTTGTTGTGCATGTTTTATCTACTAGGTGGTCTGGGAGCCGGTGGTTCTGTTTGGCAAATCCTATTGGACGTCAGCGTGCTGTATCACTATTGGATGTCGCGCAACCAATCATACTCATTCTCTCCTCCAGTGTCGACTCATCTCGCTCACCTAAATTCTCACATCCTCCTTCCTTCAACCATACTCATCGCTTTCCCCTGTCCTCCTTTCTTCCCCCCTTCCTCATCAATTGCTCCATCCCATATTGAACCAATCAGGTTACACGGTTTCTTCAGTTGCCGCCCAATGGCCCGCCCTAGTCTCCTCCCTTGTCTTATTCAACTCCGCCGGCCGCATTGACCCAGACATCCCCATCCCCACCACCTCCACTTCCACCTCTTCCTCCGACTCCTCCAATTCTTCTGGTCCCTCCTCCTCTTCCTTGCCCTCCTCCCCTCCTGACGGCCCTTTATCCAAGGGTCCTCCCAAGCCGGTGGCCTGGCTGCTGTCTCGAGCTCTCTTCCTCTACCTGCGCTTTAACACAGGGCCCATCCTCAAACGCTGCTACCCCGTGGTGAGTCAAATAGGCCTTCTCTCTTCCCATCCTCGCCCTCCTCCCCTCCTGACGGTCCCAAGGGCCCTCCCAAGCCGGTGGCCAGGCTGCTGTCTCGTGCTCTCTTCCTCTACCTGCTCTTCAACACAGGGCCCATTCTCAAACGCTGCTACCCTGTAGTGAGTGTGTATAACCTGAACACTCAATCACAACTCCACAATGCCGGGGGGCGTCATGTAAGGTGTGGAAAATGTGTGGGGCTGCTGCTGTCTCATGCTCTCCTTCCTCTGCACAAGGTTTCATGCAAGACATATTTGAAACCCTATTCAGGAGGGATGGGAGGGGGGACGAAGGAAGGAGAACTGGAGAAGCAGGTTGGGGTGCTGTCGGGGGGATGGGTGGGACAGAGGGGAGAGACAAGAGACCAGGAAAAGAGGTGGTACAAGAACTAGAGAAGTGTGTTGGCTGCACACACGGTGGCACAGCAGGCACGTTGGAGACGTGGTGGGAAAGAGCGTGAGGGAGCTGTGTTTTTTCCCCCCTTTGACCCACCCATTCCGCCCGGCAGCTCCCAAGCCTGCTTCTCCAGTTCTCATTCCTTCTCCCCTTCCTCTCATCCCTCTCAACCCGGACTTTATCTCACCAGAGGTCAAAGAGCCAATGACTGGTTATAGAGGAAATTTCCCGAGCAGCAATGGACCTGAGGGCAATGGAAGCGGTGGAAAGAGCCTTCTACCTGCCCCTTCCATACTCTTGTTTCCTCTTCGAACCCTTTGTTTTCCATCAGAGGCCAGAGACCGGCTGCTAGAGGAAATCTCCCGAGCAGCAACGGACCCAGGGGCAGTGGCGGTGGTGGAATGTGCCTTCTACCTGCCCCTTCCATACTCTTGTTTCCTCTTCAAACCCCTTGTTTCCCACCAGAGGCCTGAGAGGGCAGGTGACTGGCTGCTAGGGGAAATCTCCCGAGCAGCCACGGATCCAGGGGCAGTGGAGGTGGTGGAGACTGCCTTCTACCTGCCCCCTTTCCATGGTCACCATACGTTTCTGTTCCCCATATCCCCACCAGAGGCCTGAACGTGCTGACGACTGGCTACTTGGCGAGATTTCCAGAGCAGCCACGGACCCAGGGGCAGTGGAGGTGGTGGAGAGTGCATTCTACCTGCCCAAGCCAGAGCCTCTTAACAGCCTGCTCATCCGATACGGAGGGCCGGTGCTGGTGCTGCAGGTATGTTCATACTCTGTACTTTCTGAAGTACGGTTGCTGCAGCCCAGGACTGCCCAGGACTGCATAGTGTTTTGTTCATACTCGTTAAAAGCAAGGACTGCCTACGAGGTGGTGCAGAGTGCATTCTACCTGCCCAAGCCAGAGCCCCTCAACAGCCTGCTCATCCGATACGGAGGGCCGGTGCTAGTGCTGCAGGTATGGTTGTTATTCTTTAATGCCTATGGCATGGTTGATACAGTACTGCCTCAGGTAAGTACTGTTGTGTTTAGAGTGGTGGAGGTGGTGAAGAGTGCATTCTACCTGCCCAAGCCAGAGCCCCTCAACAGCCTGCTCATCCAGTACGGTGGGCCGGTGCTGGTGCTGCAGGTACAGTTATCCTCTTTACTAATTACAGCAGCTACAGCAAAGTGACTTGCTTGGTTGTGTTGTTCGGAGCAGTGGAGGTGCTGAAGAGTGCCTGCTACCTGCCCAAGCCGGAGCCCCTCAACAGCCTGCTCATCCGATACGGGGGACCTGTGCTGGTGCTGCAGGTAATGGCTGGGTTACTGCTAAAGGTAGTGTTGTGCTCGTACTCGACAGCAGCAAGGGCAGCTTAAGAGGTGCTGAAGAGTGCCTGCTACCTGCCCAAGCCAGAGCCCCTCAACAGCCTGCTCATCCGATACGGCGGGCCGGTGCTGGTGCTGCAGGTACAGCCACATTCGTTAGTGTCTGTGTTACTGCCTCTAGTAGTGTTGCACTGTCTGTCAGCTCAGCAGGGGTGGGGAATGGGGAAGGGCAGCGGAGGTGGTAAAGAGCACATTCTACCGCTAATCAGCCTGCTCATACTATACGGAGGGCCCGTGCTTGTGCTGCAGGTATGGTGCTGCTGGTGCAGCAGGTGTAATCTCGTTAATGGCTGTATTACTGCCTCAGGTGGTGTTGCACTGTGTGGCTAAAGCAGAGGCTAGAGAGCCAACCTCATCACGGCAAGCATTGTACTAACGTTTCTCCTACTGTTCCCCTTTCATGTTCCCCGCCTGTCCACCTCTCCCTTCCCTGCAGGGTAGCCGACCGCATCAATGCCCCATACTAACATGTCCCTCTCTGGTCCCCTCCTTTCCTTTTAGTAACATGTCACCTCCTAGTGCCCTCCCTCCCACCCTCTCCCTGCATGGTAGCTTGGATCCGCTCAATGATGCAGTGGCAAGGGCCAACCTCATCACTGCCACCTTTGTTCCTTCGCAACCCCACTATCCCCCACTCACCCGCGGTTCCTCTCTCGTACACACACATTGCTCCTGTGTCCTCTCCCCTCCCCTCCCTTCCCTGCATGCAGGGTAGCTTGGATCCGCTCAATGATGCAGTGGCAAGGGCCAACCTCATCACTGCCACCTGCCCTGGCGTTGCTTTGAAGCTCTTGAAAGCAGGTTGGTGCTGCTTTGACCTTTTGGGGTAGGCTAGAAGATGCTGATTATGACTCTAGGGTAGTCTCGATCCACTCAATGATGCAGTGCCAGAGCCAACCTCATCACTGCCACCTGCCCTGGCGTTGCTTTGAAGGTCGGTTGTCGTGTTAAGGACAGGCTGAGGTGTGGTTTCCTCGAATGCAGTCTCCCTCTATCTTAGAGCCAACCTCATCACTGCCACCTGCCCTGGCGTTGCTTTGAAGGTCGGTTGTCGTGTTAAGAACAGGCTGAGGTGTGGTTTCCTCGAATGCAGTCTCCCTCTATCTTAGAGCCAACCCCATCACGGCTTCTTGCCCTGGGGTTGCCTTGACGCTGCTCGATGCAGGTGGGTTGTTAGGGTGCGAGCAGGCTACATGGACATTTCAATCTTATGAACGTCAAGCATGGATGGATGGATTATAAGATAGCATGTGTTACATCCCAGTTTACAGCCCATCCTACCCAGCTTTCCCCCCTTTCTCCCTTCGTCCCACCACAGGTCACTGCCCCCACGATGAGGTGCCAGAGCAGGTGGCGTAACACATGGACGAATGGGCTCGTATCAAGGTTTCCTTCACAACCCAACTCTATGACTCGCACCTCCCTCTCCCTTCCCTTCCTCTCTTTCCTTTCCCTTCCCCACCACAGGGCACTGCCCTCACGATGAGGTGCCAGAGCAGGTGGCATATCACATGGACCAATGGGCTCGCGCCACGTGGTGCTCTGTGGCCGATGAGGAGGGCGACCAGCCAATGGGAGCGCAGCGAGCAGCTGCTGCGGCCAGATCTCCTGCCGATGCTCTGGAGATTTTGGAAGAGGAAGCGGCTGTGGGGGTGTTTGGGGGAATGATGGGCGGAGGGAAGGGAGTTGGAAAGAAGGGTAAAAAGGATTAAGTGGTTAGAGAGGAGGGGAAGCGGAGCAGAGGAGTGAAGAAGCAGCAGCGGCGGCCAGGTTTCCTGCTGATGCTATGGAGATTCTGGAAGAGGAAGCAGTGGTAGGGGAATTTTGGGGGGATGGTGGGTGGAGGAAAGGGGGTTGGAAAGAAGGGTAAAAAGGATTGAAGAGGCGGGGAAGTGAAGCAGAGGCGTGAAGCAGCAGCAGCGACCAGGACTCCTGCTGATGTTCTGGAAATTTCGGAAGAGGAGGCGGCTGTGGGGGTGTTTGGGGGGATGGTGGGCGGAGTCAAAGGGGTTTAATGGAAGGGTAAAAAGGATCAAGTGGTAAGAGGGGGGGAAATGGAGCAGAGGAGTGAAGCAGCAACAGCAGCAGCAGCGACCAGGACTCCTGCTGATGCCCTGGAAATTCTGGAAGAGGAGGCGGCTGTGGGGGTGTTTGGGGGGGTATTGGGAGGAGGGAAGGGATTTTAGGATAGAATGGAGTAGGAGGTAAGCGGAAGGGAAGTGGAGCAGAGGAGTGTAGCAGCAGCAGGAACGCGGCAAGCAGCAGCAGCGGCCAGATCTCCTGCCGATGCTTTGGAGATTCTGGAGGGGCGGGGTGTTTGGGGGGGTATTGGGAGGAGGGAAGGGGACTGGAAAGAAGCAGCAATAGGTAGCAGTAGCAGCGGCCGCCAGGTGTCCTGCCGATGCTCTCATGGAGATATTAGGCGGTGGCTGCGGGGATACCTGTGAGGGTGGTTGGAGGAGGAATTTCAGGTAAAAATCAAGGAGCGCCACGACCACACCAAAGGCCATTATCCAAAACAGTATTACTCAACGCTCGTTTAATGCTCAATACAGCAAACTGGTATTATGAACAATATCATTTATTATTTGTAGATCTCGTACAACCGTCAATCCTCTTAACGAGTGCATTCTCGTAACGAGTGCATTCTTGTAGCTCTTGAAGCAGAGTGGTGTGTGATTCTAGTCTGAGGATATGAAAACACGAGGGCGAGGTGAAATGGTAGTCGCGCCACAATAGTAATCGCCCGTCGGTCGGCCATTTTTCTCCTAGTATCGCTCAGCATCCCAGGCCTGCCTGTCGCACGTCGTCGGCTCCGGCAATCCCGTTCGTTTCATCTCTACACTCCTTTTCCGTTTCTGTCATGGCGACAAACGCGCTTCAACTTGCAACCCCGATCCCTCGCGCACCCCTCGCCTCACCTCGCGCCCATCTCTCGCCGCCCGCAGCGTCATCGCGAAGCGTATCCTTCAGAACTAGGCGATTAACTACCGTCTCCTTTCCACCGCCTCCGCCTTCCGGTAGACGATTAAAGCGCGCTCTAGTAACATGCGACGCGGCTCAGGGAAACGCGCCAGGAGGAGAGAACGGCGCGGCGAAGGCGAACGGCGGGTCTGGAGATGGGGCAGAGGAGATTAAGGACGTCAGAAAAGGCGGCGCGAAGGAAAATGCGGCGGTGGCGAACGGGCGCGAAAGTCGCCAGGAGAAGCGGGAAGATCAGGTCTGGGGGCGCCAGGAGAAGCGGGAAGATCAGGTCTGGGGGCGGCGTCGTTTGTCGGATCTGGAGCGGGAGATTCTCGGGGTGCAACGGGGGGACGGGGTTCTCGCCTCCCCCAAGGGGGGAGCTTCCGCGCCCCCTAGGGGTTCCGCTCCCCCTCCTCCTTCCGCGCGCCCGCAGCTTCGCAGAAGGTGAGACTTGACTGACACCTTGCCACCCGCCCTTTTATTTTTGTTCTTCTTAATAATGCTCGAAAGCAACTCCGATATTGCCCCCTCCCCCGTTCTCCTCCCGTTCCCTCCCCTCCCTCCAGCCCCCCCCCCCTCTCCCCAACCCCCCCTCCCCCCTCCTCCCCCCCTCCCCAACCCCCGCCCTCAAACGACCTGGACGAGCGAGCAGGCGTTTTGTAAGATCGGAGGAGGTATGGAGGAGTGGAAAGCGGTAGACGATTCTATAGCAAGCCCCTCACGCCCCACGCTTCCCGCTGCTTTTTTCATCCCCCCGTTCCATGTCTCAGGGATCTCGACTCTAATCAAAAGTCATCTCGGATGAACCCAATCAAAAGATTGGGTTTGGGTTGGGAAATGAAATTTCCTTGCTCCTTTCCACCTTCCTCCCTCCAGGGACCCTAATTCCAACCAGAAGTCGATTTTGGATGAACTGGATGAGCAGGGGTTCGGGCAGCTCAGCGGCGGTGTGGAGGAGTGGGAAGCGGTGAAGTCTGCCAAGAGAGTGGGCGAGTGGTTGGAGGAGAAGACTATCCGGAAGGAGGGAGAGGATGAAATGGCAGGTGGGTAAGCGAGGGGATGTGGAGAGTGAGGGAGGAAATGAGAAGTGAAAGGGGATGAGCAAGGAGGTGGGTGTAGATAGGGAGACCAGGCGAGTGGTTGGAGGAGAAGACTATCCGGAAGGAAGGGGAGGATGAAATGGCTGGTGAGTGAGAGAATTTTTAGGATGTGAAGTGAGTAAGTTGATAAAGAGTCTGGGTTGGTGTAGATTGGGAGAGTGGGCGAGTGGTTGGAGGAGAAGACCATAAGGAAGGAGGGGGAGGATGAAATGGCAGGTGAGAGAGAGAGAGAGAGAGGATGGGGTGGGTGAAAGAGTATGTGTGAGTGAGGAAGGAGGGTGAATTATAGGAGGGTGGATATGGGTTGGCATAGGAGAAGTTGATAAGGAAGGAGGGAGAGGAGGGAATGGCAGGTAAGTGAGTGAGAGGATGTGAAGGGGTGACAGATGATAGGGAGGGTGAGAGATGAGATCAATGGTTCAGGCTTTTGGGTCAAGGACAAAATGGACTAACTGGTAAGAGTAAAGAAAAGACTTTGGCTTGGCTCGTCTCACGCCATATCAATAAACCGGTTAATCTGCCTGTTTGGCTCGTTGCGGCTTAAAACAGGACGAGCCTGCTCGGCTTGGCTAGGATCCGTCCTCATGCCTCCTAGTTCAAGGTTTAGGGTCTGGGACCACGGTTTAGGTCAGTAGCAGTTCTTGGATTCTAGAAAGTTGTTCATCTTGTGGGAGAGAGGGAGGAAGGGGTGAACACTTACCCCTCACCACAAGTGTTGCACCTTGCCATCTTCATCCCACTACACCAGGTTCCCCACCTGGTTTCAGCCTTGTGCTGCTTGTGGGAGTTTGAAGTGTAAATAAAGCATTCACGTTCCCATTTTCAAAACAAGTTCTGCGTCTTCCCACCTTCATCTCATTACACCAGGTCCCCCGCTTGGCTTCAGCCTCGTGCTGCTTCTGGGAATCTTCCCCGTCTGGCTTTTCCTGGTGCTAGTGGCAGGGGGATGGGTGGAGCTGCCCCCACAATTATCCTCGTTACAGGATCTCCTCACTACCCCCTAAAAGTTTCATATCGGTACATCAACGTGGTTAGTATCTGCACCGTATAGAAGCCAGTGCTTTTTGTAGTTCCAATGTTGCATTGTTTACCCTAAGAAGGTACCGTACACTGGTTCAGTCAGTAGAACTTGCCTGTGCAAAATAAGGTATGCATTAATAGGACCCACTTAGGGGTATAGATTCATATTAATGTCATCATGCTAAACGGCTGGCTGATATGCAATGCAATGCTATAATACAGGAGGAAATGGAATCATCCACTGCAGTAAGATTTTCATATTGTGCTCCACTGTAATAGTGCCCTTGTTACACCCTCCTCCTCACTGCTGCTATGAGGATGTATGTAACATTTCACCAGCTGATCCTGTGATGCTGAAACGCATACACGAAACAATGTGGTGCTTACACGCGTGGAATGATCCCCATACGGGGATAAGCAGCCTGAGTAGGACAACAGGTCGGGGCACGATAGAAACGGGAAGGAAGAGGGGGGTTAGGGACCTCTCAAAAAGGGAGAGGGAGAACGGGGAAATTCGAGTCTAGTTACACATATGGGATGGTACCAGTTTGATCCCATGCGGGGATAAGCGGCCTGAATAGGACAAGCCACAGAAGAGTCGGGGAGGAGTGGGGTTTTGAATAATTAATGAAAAAAATAAACTCAGAAGTCACCCATGGGATAAGCAGCCTGAATAAAATTAAGGAACGGAAAAAAAAACATGGAAGGAGAGGGAGTGATAAAATGTCTAGAAACGGGGTGGGAGGAAGGGGGGGTGGGGGGGAGAGAGAGGGGAAGGGGGGGAAGGAAACACCATGACCATGCGTAGATTCCAGGCTGCTTCGATGGTGGGTCCCATATAATTGCATATAACTATGGTACAACAATGTCGGAGGTAGAACACTTACAAGCTGGCGCGGGCGGGCTTGCTTAAGCCCCGTGCCCTTGCCCTTGCTGCTTTTATCGTTTGCCGTGTCTGGGGTGTGTGAGGCTGCGACCAGGTCCTGAAGCTTGGCGCGTAGTGCCTGGCGCATCTGGCAGTGGGGATGGGGTGGGGTGGGATGGGATGTGGTGGGGTGGGATGTGGTGGGGTGGAATGTGGTGGGTTGGGATGGGAGGGGATGAGCTCAAACGTGCGATCACCGGCTGTTGATGCCGCCCCTAGCTGTGACTTTATCAATTGCTGTGTCTGGGGTGTGTGGGGCTGTGATCAGGTCTTGAAGCTTGGCGCGTAGTGCATGGCGCATCTGGCAGTGGGGATGGGGTGGGGTGCAATGGGTTGGGATGGGATGCGATCAAACAAGCAAGGACTTCTGTTCCGTGCCACATCTCCAACATAAGGAGGCTGGGGAGGATGGCGGACAACAAGCAGTTGCATGAATGTGCACGCGTGGACATGCACACATTCGACGAGCAACGCACCTGCAGGGACTCCTGTGTGCCCCCCGTTTCATGCCGAAACTCCGCCATAAGGAGGCCGGGAAGAATTGCAAGTAAGGGCTTGTGATCGTGCAACGAGCAACGCACCTGCAGGGACTCCTGTGAGCCGCCCGAGTCATGCCGCATCTCCACCCTAAAGAGGCCGGGGAGAATGGCAAACACCTGCATGGGGGAATGGAGAATGCACAGGAATGCACGCATGTAAGGAGTACAGAAGCACGCACACATGTGGGCACACATACACACTTACGCCCACAAAAGGGCCCATCCTTACCTCCAAACCTAGAGCTGACTCTTGAGTCGACTCAAAAGTAAGTACATGTACCTAGGGACACACACACGTGGCACACACAAATGCACACTTACGCCCACAAAAGACCTAATCCTTACCTTCATAGCGACAGCTGCAACGACAGTGTGCCTGGCCACAGCAACTGACAACTCCACAACACCGCACCTCCCTGCCTATCCCAAGCCCACAAACGTGCTCATCCTTACCTCCACAACCATAGCTGCAACGACAGTGTGCCTGGCCACAGCAACTGACATCTCCACAACACCGCACCTCCCTGCCTATCCCAAGCCCACAAATGTGCTCATCCTTACCTCCACAACCACAGCTGCAACGACTGTGTGCCTGGCCACTGCAACTGAAATCTCCACAACACCGCACCTCCCTGCCTATCCCAAGCCCACAAACGTGCTCATCCTTACCTCCACAACCACAGCTGCAACGACAGAGTGCCTGGCCACAGCAACTGACATCTCCACAATGCCAGCAGAGGCAGCGTCAGCAACAGCTGCAGCAGCACCAGCATCTGGAGCAGGAGTATTAGCTTCTGCTGCTGCATCTACTTCCTCTGCATCTTCACCTGCTTCTGCGGTACCTCTCCCTGCTTCACTTTCTGCTCTTTCTGCTGTTTCTGATCTTTCTGCCGTCTCCGCTCTTTCTGCCGTTTCTGCTCTTTCCGCTGTTTCTGTAGCGTCTGGTGTTTTTGCTGCCACTGAGGGTGTGGCTGCATCTGCTGCTGCCGTAGCTGCTACTGACATTGTAACAGCTTCAGTAGTAGCTGACGTCATTGGTGCTGCTGCTGCTGCTTCTGCTGCTGGTGTTGCTAATGCTGCGTCTCTTAACTCAAGGCGGAACTGTCCAAAAAGGCAAGAACAAGAGAGGGAAAAACGGCAAGGGGGATCACAGAGGTGACCACGAGAAGGGAGCGGAAGGAGAAGAGGGGGCAGGGAAACACAGTTGAGAGGAGAAGAGAGCATATAGAATTTGACCTCATTTGCCACCCACTTTGAATTCCTCTCACTCCACATGCCAACCCAGCTCCCCTGCTGCTGCCTCCACTCTCCCAACCACACGGCCCACTGATGCATGTGACAAGAACCAAGTGTGCTTATAACGCTTATGAGAAATCTCAAATACCCACCTTAAAGCCCTCTCTCTCCACGTGCCAACCCAGCTCCCCTGCTGCTGCCTCCACTCTCCCAACCAGACGGCCCACAGGCGCATGTGACAAGAACCGGGTCTGCTTATAGCCCCATCCCTCCTCCTCCATCCCCTCCTCCCTGCCCCCCACTCTCAACACACCTTCGGCGCTTATTCCTGCCCCACCTCCTGTTCCTTCTCTCCCTCCTTTTCCTCCTCCCTTTCCTCCTGCCCCAGGTCGCTGGGCTTCTCGTTTCCCTCCGAAGAGGGCCGAACTGTTGAATAACCCCCCAAGGTTGAACCCTTGAGCCAGATTCAGCAGGGCAAAAGCATTCAACGTCTCTGGTTTTGGCCCCTTCTCCCATCCCCCATCCTCCCTCCCTCCTCTTCCCCCTTCCCCATTCTCTCCACTCCCCCTTTCTCTCCCCCCTCCCCATCCCCCTCCCATCCCTCCCACTCCTCCACCTCCTCCTCCTTCCCCCCCACTGTCATCCCCACTATCCTCCCCTTCCGCCTCCCCTTCCTCTATAGTCCCACCAATCCCCCCTCTGCTGCCCCTCATACCCCTTACAGTCACACTCGTTACCCCTCTCACGCCTGCTGCAAGAAGATGCCTATCCGCATGAGCCTCCTCACATGCACTGCTACAAGGCAAATCCTCGCTACAGGGAAAATCCTCGCTACAGCCGGGGTAATCACAAGCCGTCGCACCCTGACACACACTGGCGGTCTTGCTACAGCCGGGACTGTAGCACGCACTGGTGCTGTGAGTGCAGCTTGGGCAGCAGCAGGCATAATTTCCCTGGCTACAACTTCGGTTGTAGCATGAGTTCGTATCTTGGCTATAGATGGAGTCATCATGGCTTGAATCACTTGTGCTGCTGCTGTTGTTGAGTGAAAACCCATGGATGATCGTTGGACTGCTGTTACCGCTGCTCCTGCTCGCGCTTACGCTGGTGCTGGTAGTAGCAGCATGGGCGGTGGTGCTGGTGCTTTTGCTGCTGCTGGTGATATTTCCGCTGTTGCTGTTTCCGTTGCTCTTCACACCAAATGGAGTGTGTTCCGCGCCTCTTCCACTCTTGTGATTGAGCGTAGGAGTCGACCCTCCCAACTGACAAGACAACCCCCCTCTGTGTGAACCCTTCAGGTCCCCAGGCCCCCCTAAACCGGTCTGAACCTGCTGCTGCTGCTGCTGTTCAGCACAGGTAGCGCAACCACTGGTTCCCGCACTTGAACCACTGCCCTTCCAAGTCCCGGTCACTTTCTCACTATCAGCAATGGCACTGTCACCACTACCAGCACTGCTGATAGCAGACTTGGCTGCACCAGAAGCAGAGCCAGAAGCAGAACCGCTGGGAGCAGCAGATTTGGCAGCAGCAGAAGGAGCACCAGCAGCAGCAGGAGCAGCACCAAAAGCAGCATCAACATCATTCATATTGTCGTCCGCAGTATCTACAGGGACCGGCACGGGAACATAATTGGTGCGGAACCATGGGTCCTTTTTTATCTCCTGATACCGGTACCTCTGCACAGGTGGGGTTGGGGTTAAGGAAAAAGGAGAGGAGAGAAAACACTTGTGAGTCGACTCACGACTCTGCTTGCATGCCTTCCCATCAGAACAAGATGAGGAAACCCACACCCCATCGCACTCTGCTAACTCACCAGTTTAGGGTTGGGCTGCAAAATCCCAGTGATCAGCCTCTTTGCCCCTGCTGAGAACCATGTGGGAAACCCGAAATCAGATCGTTGAATCTGTGTGGAAAGCATAAGTGGAGAAGAGGGGAAGAGGTGGCGGTGCGTGGGGATCAGAAAGCAGAACTCTGAGCAAGCGAGTTCACTTTAGAGTCGACTCAAAAGTGATCTGTGTGGAAACCATAAGTGGAGGAGAGGGGAAGAGGTGGGATGGGTGGGAAGGGGTATCAGAAAGCAGAACTCTGAACAAGCGAGTTTTGAGGCGCCTCGGGCGAGAGTGCAGGGGGGGAGAGCACGCACCTTTTTGTAGAGAGAAGGCACATCGGGCTCGTCGAAAGGGAGGAAACCAGCGAGGAGAACGTAGAGAATGACCCCGCATGACCAGATGTCTGCTAACACTCCGTTGTAACCTCTGTCACTCAGCACCTGAGGGTGTGTGCATTGGCGCCCAAAAGATGGGAGGGGAGGAATAAAGAGGACGTAGAGAATGACCCCGCGCGACCAGATGTCTGCCAGGACCTCGTTGTACCCTCTGTCACTCAGCACCTGTGCATGTGTGTGGTGGAGGCGAGGCGGTGGGGGGGGGGGGAGAGGAAGATATAGGATGAGGTAGAGTAATCCTGAATGACCAGACGCCTGACGGGACTCCGCATTTGTGCGTGTGGGTGGGGGGGAAGGGGAAGGGGCAATAGGGAGAGTAAGAGAGATCGGGAGGGGGTCAAGTGTAGGGAGGACTGGTGAGGACATGGAAAAGGTCTCCACATGACCATATGCCCACCAGAACCCCGTTGCACCTTCTGTTGCCCACTCAGTAGGTGTGTGTGTGTGTGTGTGTGGTGTGGGGGGGGGGGGGGTGTGCGCACGCGCGCGCGTGTGTGAGTGGGTGTGAGTGTGTGAGTGTGTGTGTGTGTGTGTGTGTGTGTGTGTGTGTGTGTGCCCCAGATTCCTCCCAATTCTGAGGCGCCTCAAGTCTAGACCCACCCCCTCACTCAGCAGCTGTATCTTTGTGCGTGTATGTGTGCCCCAGACTCCTCCCCCTACCTCGGGAGCAACGTAGTTGGGCGTGCCACATGTGGTGTGCAGCAGCCCATCCGCCTGCGAAAGAAAAAGGCAAAAAAAAAAGGATTTAACAAGAAGTTTAGAAGAAGCAAGGCAGGAGACCGAATCACATATGTAGCTAATGATCACAAACAGACTAACGCTGACTTTTGTAGTGACTCACTCTGACTTGCTGAGGCAGGGCGCTGAGGCCGAAATCCGAGATCTTGATATTATCCTTGGAATCCAACAGAAGATTCTCTGGCTGGCAGACAGTGACGAGTTGAAAAAAGGGTATGGGAGGGGCACCCGTAGCTCGAGAAGGTGGACTTTCAATAGGCTGATAAGCAGGCGTGGATTCAACTAAGGAAATGGGTTCAGAATACGAGCTGAATAGGTCACTCCTCTGCTTATCACACTAGGGTCTAAACAGCGTGCCCCTCTAACAATGATAGGGGATGTGGCCTTCAAGGTGGGTCACATCCCCTCCGTTGCCACCATGACGTGTCACCCACCCTGAGGTCGCGGTGTGCCACGCCTTTGCTGTGGCAATACTCCATGGCGACTATCAGCTGCTGGAAGGGCACCCTATCAGTGAATGGAGAGCTATGTAGCTATAACTATGTGTGGTCTCACCTTGAGGTCGCGGTGGGCCACGCCTTTGCTGTGGCAATAATCCATTGCGTCTATCAGCTGCTGGAAATACCGCCGTGCCTCCTCCTCCTCCAGCCGACCCTTGTTCACCTGCGCACAGAAAGCAGGCAACACCAATAGGTTACGAGGTAGGCAAAATCAGATAAAACCAACATCATGACTCTCATTGCCCAAATAAAAAAAACCATCGAGAAGGTCTCATCGTCTCAAGGTAAAACCAATGAACCATATTCCATCCCGTTTCTCTCTTTGTGAGCCTTGAAACCGCTCTCAATAAGCAGAAACATAGTAATGGCTGTTCCTGTACTCACAATCTTGTCAAAGAGCTCTCCTCCGGTGACAAATTCAAGGATAATGTAGATTTTGGTGCGCGATGCGAGAACCTGCAAGGGGGGAGAATGGGTTGAGATAATAGGCAAGGAAGAGTGTCAGGCTGAAGCTCAAACTTCATGTTTTTTTCCTAACCATGTTTGCTAGCCACCCTTTCAATAGTACTCTCGCTCACCTCATACAGCCGCACCACATTAGGGTGCCGCACGAGCTCCAAGGCAACACAGCAGTTTGTTCCTGAGAGAAAAGGCTGTGAAACCGACCCCCTAAACTGGATGGTATCCCCTTGTCCCGTGCCGCTCACCTCATACAGCCGCACCACATTAGGGTGCCGGACGAGCTTCATCACCGAAATCTCTCGCTTGATCTGCACACACAGAGACACCCACACGCTCGCACACACACACACGCACGCATGCACGCACGCACGCACGCACGCACGCACGCACGCACGCACGCACGCACGCACGCACGCACGCACGCACGCACGCACGCACGCACGCACGCACGCACGCACGCACGCACGCACGCACGCACTCACGCACGCACACACAGAGAGAGAGACAGCGAGGAGTGATTAAATACAGGGCCCACTGGACGGAAAGCCGGGTCCCGCTTATCAACATCAATCGTTCTGCGACTACCAGGACCTTCATGCGTTTTGCTGTCCCTTCCTCACAGCCCTGACGACCTACCTGGTCCACCATTTTATGCCGGATGATCTTCTCCTTATCCAGCACTCCCAATGCCACCGGTTCGCCCGTCGTCGAGTGCACCGCGTATTTCACCTTCGCGAACGTCCCTTCCGAAACGTGGCCCCCACAGCCCTCATAGACCTGACAGCAATGACAGCCCTGACTTGACAGCCCACCTGGTCCACCATTTTATGCCGAATGATCTTCTCCTTATCCAGCACTTTCATCGCCACGGGCTCGCCCGTCGTCGCGTGCACCGCGTATTTCACCTTCGCGAACGTCCCTTCGCCAAGCGTTCCGCCCACCTCGTACTCGCCGATCCTGCGCGGCGCCTGCACACGCTGCTGCCCGCCGTTCATCCTCGTCATAAGTACGTACTCGCTAGCAGAATCTACTAAATCGTTACTCAATATATTAGAGGCGGAAAAGTTCGCTAAGTTCGCAAGTTCGCTAAAACGCTATCTTCCTGGAAACTTTCGAAGAGATATCAGATGTACAACGGTGGTAGCTGCACTGAAAGCCTTCCAGCTACCAGACAAATCTCCAATTTAGAAGTCTTCACGATGCGCTTCGGATCCCAGAAATGCGATCCTGGTAACATAACGTAGAGGACTTGGTGATAAGGCGACAAACATTACTACAGATGCTGCCTGAAGTGCGATGCAAAAGGGCCTGACCGATTCCAACTTGGTATTTCAATATTGGTGACCTCGCTGGGGATTCCTATATTGCGAGCGACGCGGAATTAGCAGCTGAATGGTAATGGTCGATCTGACGGAGTTGCTTCACGGGCCTAACTGTGGAGCGACGCGGTTGGAGCCGTAAACCGGGTGGAGATTCCCAAAGCCACGCCGCCTCCCAATCACTAACAACTTGCTGCTGCGGACTAAAACCTCGTAATGAGCGTTGTCTGCTGCAGCCTAATTACCGAGAACCAATCCACGTTTCGACTCGAATTTGCGTAGGGTTGCCTATTTCCGTAACTCGGAAACCGAGACTCCCGTGATTCTCGGCTACAAGGAGACAGGCCGCAGCAGCTGAAAAGTTTCAGCCGCCTTTGCGATTTTGGGGGTTCCCGCGACCCTGGAACTGCCACGCCCTTGGTAATACCTTCTGAGTCCTGACGCAAAATTCGGGAGTTTCCATGCTACGTTAGAGTGAGGTGCAGTACGGTAACTTCAATTCATGCGCATATTCTTCGGTGTCTACGGTGCGGTAGTGCAAGAGCGTGGTGATGGTATGGCTGCACACAATGCAACGATGCGCCACGTCGATCCATCGAACGGTTGTTCATGCTTCAGATGGTGGAAATGTCATTGGTTGCAATTCCCGCCGATTTCCCCACCTGCGATCTTCTAGGGACACTTGGTAGGACAGAGGCATTGAGGAGGTCAATACATCCCTCCTTGTGAATGCTTCGAATCCTGGATAAACTCATGCATTTGATAAACAGTACAGCATTGCGTGTGTGCAATCCTATCCAGCAGAATTCACGGCCTTGCGAGGTCGTCGAAGCTTCGTCTTCCTCTCGAAGGTTCTACGCTGACTTGTGTAATTCAGATGCGAAACATGGCAGACAACTGGGTATAGGTGTTTAGCAAAGATACGTGAGAATTTGTCGCAAAGAATTAGACTGTCCCGTGTGACCCCGAATTAAAACATTCTATCTAAAAACGTCCCACTTCATTTCCGAAAATCCTCCATTCCGCTCCAATTCCTGAATCTCGAAGTGAACGATGCATTTTAGGTCATCATCTGTTCTAGGTCCTCCACAGCCGAGTAACTGGTAGCTCCGACCCCTAGCGCTCCCAGCTAATTTCTCATGACCGACACTCGGACGCTACGCGTTATCCTCGAAAGTTGCACTATCACTCGTCGCTGGCGTCCAAAGTCACGAATAGACGAGACGTATAATGGAGCACGCGCAGCAGAAGAAGAAGGTAGTTCTCCCGACGGTTAACGGCAGCAGCCATCCGCATGTCGTCGGTCCCACGCTCGCCAAATCCCGCGCTGACCTACCCACGGACCTTGAGTCGCGGCTTCAGAAGGCGTGGCTCCAATCCCAAATTCCCGATGCTAGTTCGCTTCGACGGCCGCTTGGTATAAGCTCGTTTCCCTTTCCATAGCTTGGCCATTTCCCGTGTTTCTTTCTAAGAGAACGCTAATTATCTTGGTGTCACCGAATTCCGCTCGTTCCGTGGTCGTTATTCTTACAAATCGCGACGACGCAGCCGCACTTTCCCTTGTTAGTTCATATACTTGTTTCGTGTTTCAGACTCGAATTTTCTCCATTTTCTACCTTTTCTTGCTTCTCCCCGTGAACCAGCGGGAACACCGACGGCGGCGGATGGAATTTCCCCGTCCACCATCCGCCCGAAACGGACGCGCTCCCCCGAAAGACCCTCCCGCGAGGGTGGAAACCTCGCGCAGTCCCTGCAGCAGCTTTGGAAAAGAACCCACACCCACGGCGGTGGCTCGGGAAGCCCGCGGAGTTCCCCATTTCCGGCTGGTGCGGCAGGTGCGGGAAATTTCGCAGGTCAAGCACGTTTTGCAGGGCTTCCAGGCTTAGGCTTGGGAGGAACGCAGCAGCGTTTGGGGTCCAGACCTGAAGGGCAAGCAGGTTCGGATCCCCGTGCTAGGTTCGGTAACAGGCTCGGGGTGACTGGGAGGGATGCGGGGTCGTCGCCGTCGGAGTCAGTGGGCACTGCCGTGTCTGGCGTACAGGTTCGGAACGAGGCTCGGCAGGGTTCGGGGACGTCAGGCTCACCATCAGGCTCGGCGCCAGGCTTGGCGGCAGGCTTGGAAGAAGTAACATTCGATTCTCTGGTTCAAGAATTGCTGGGTAGCAACCCGAACGTGATGGATTCGGGCGCCGGATTGGGCCTCGGTGCGGAGGATTTAAAAGGGGTGAAGACAGGTGGGGAAAGGAGGGGACAGAGGGGAGGAGTTTCGGCAGCTATGAACGTGATCGTCTCAGCGGCTAAGGGAAATGCTACAGGCAGCAGCAGATTGGGAGTAGCTTCAGCAGCAGCAACAGGAACAGCAGGAGCAACAGGAACAGCAGCAGCAGCAGGAGGAGGAAGCAACCTGGAAGGTCCTTACAGGCAAAGTGGGGGCAGAGTGATGGCTGGGAAGACGCCAAGAGATATGGGCGGCTGGGATAGTGGAAATGGTAACAGTAACGGTAACATTATTGATAACCGTAGCATTGACAGTGGCGGGAATGTGAACAGTGTGCCTGGGAGCGGGTCCATGCATCCGTTATTGGCTGACCTGTTAGAGGAAGGTTTGGACGAACCTGTAGAGCTACAGGTTGACTCGAGTACAGAAATGAACAGTACAGATATGAACAGTGCGGGAACCAGCAGTGCGGGGCAGGGGTTGACTGGGGGAGGCGCATCTATGGATGTTTCAACAGATTCTGGTGTAGGCGCGGTTGGGAGCGGTGGCAGCGACCTTGGGATTGCCGAGTTGGGACTGGATGGAGGGTCAGGATGGGCGGATCTGGGTGTGGAGGAGTTTCTGCGTGGTTTAGATGGGTTGGACAACGCGTTTGTAGAGCTGGAAGATATGTTCCCTGTGGCGCTTGCCCCTACTCCCCCCCCTGCTGCTCTTACTTCCGCTCCATCTGCTGCTGATGGTGGCGGTGCTGGTGGTGGTGGTGGTGGTGGAAACGCGTCTGACGATATGGTGGTGGATGGTATGGGTGGAGCAGCAGCAGGAATAGGTGCAGGAGCAGGGGTAGCAGGAGCAGGAGCGGCAGCAGGGGTAGCATCAGGAGCAGGAGCAGCAGATGTAGATATGGTTGCCTTTGTGCAGGAGCTTATGGATAGAGGGAAGGAGATGGGCTATACTAACAGTGGAAGCTTGAATGAGGGGGACTCTTACACAGATACGACAGATTACACCACCACCACTGGTACTGCAACTGTGACAGAGAGCCTCGGCCGAGGTCGTTCGGCGACGACCGGCAGCCTCCGAACCTCGAGTTCAGGCTCGGAAGCCACCGCGCCTTGGAGCCCGAAGCTGCTGGAGGAAGGGGAGGGCGGGAGGCAGGCTTGGGCAGGAAAGGTGACTCCGGAAGAGGCTCGGCAAGCGGAGGAAGCTCTGAGGAAGCTTCATGGGGAGTGTACTAAGCGGTGGGAGGAGAGGAAGAAGGCGACTAGTCAGGGGGAAAGCAAGAAGAAGGGGTGCTGCTGTGTTGGGGCGGATGGGGAAGGGGACGGAGCAGTGTGTACGTGTGCGTGTTGTGACACTGCCACAAGTACTGCTGATGCTGCCGGTGCTGTTGCTGCTGGTGCTGGAGCTGATGCTGTAGCAGCAGCAGAAGCAGCAGCAGCAGAAGCAGCAGCAGCAGAAGCAGCAGCGGGAGCAGAAGCAGCAGCGGGAGCAGAAGCAGCAGCGGGAGCAGCAGCAGTAGTGGGAGCAGCAGCAGCAGCCGGAGCAGCAGAAACAGGAGCAGCAGCAACAGGAGCAGCAACAGGAGCAGCAACAGGAGCAGGGGGAGGAGCAATCGTAGCAGCAGCAGAGGCGCAAGACGGCCAGCTAGGCCCTCGAAAAGCTACATGCTGCGTTGGCCCCGACTCCTGGGGAGAATGTGCCAAGAAGGGAGACCCAATCGCCCTCTTAGTCTCAGTCGCAAAGGCCATCGTCTCAGGCGACCAAGCCCGTGTGCATGAGCTGCTCTCGAGCCTCAATGAGGTTGCTTCGGTGTATGGAACGGTTACTCAGAGGCTCTCGGCGTATTTTCTCGAAGGGCTGATTGCTAGGGTCGCCGGGACTCCGCCGAAGCACTCCCCGAACCTGTTTGAGAGGTTTGATGCGAGCTCCGGGGTTATGGGGAGGATTAGCGGGGAGGAAGGCGTGCAAGGAGTGGGAAGCAGGGAGGGGGAGGAGGAGTGTAGGGAGGGGAGAGGGGATGGGGCGGGTTTCAGTCACGGGTTTGCAGCTCTAGAAGGGGATGTGAGGGGGGAGTTACCAGGTGCAGGGGAGACAATGGGAGGTACGGGAATCGTTGGTGGTGGTGGTGAAGCATTTGGGGGGTTCTCGTCACAGGAAGGAGGGCCGTTACTGGAACAAGGAGGGCCGTTTCTGGAGCAGGGAGGGGCGTTTTCAGAGGGGGCACAGCCGTTTGAGCAGAGGCAAGAGGCGGGGGAGTTGATGCCAGGCGAAGCTGCTCTGATCTCCAGTCGGGGGACGGTTTTCATGCCAGGGGGATCCACTGGGCTGGTGGTCCCTCCTCCGGCCTATAGGGAGGGTGTGCCTGCACCGGTTTCTCCCCCGAATGTCGACTGCAACCGCACACTGCTGGAGTCATTTCAGGTAAGCGCGACGCCCTTCCCAACTTTAGGTCAGGTAGCAGCCAACAGCGCCATACTCGACGCTCTGGCAGACGAGCCTCGGGTTCACATCATCGACTTTGGCATCGGCCACGCCCTGCAGTGGCCGGCTCTTTTACATGCCCAGCCTCTTGCATGCTTGCTGACGCTGCTCTTTTCCTCCCCTCATCCCTGTCTCTCCAGGTACTAGTAAATGCAACGCCCTTCCTCACCTTTGGTCAAGTCGCAGCCAACAGCGCAATACTCGAAGCACTAGCAGACGAGCCTCGAGTGCACATCATTGACTTTGGCATCGGCCACGCCCTGCAGTGATCCCCCTTCTAATCCCCTGTAATATTGACCTTCTCCCCCTCCCCATGCCAACAGGTGCTGGTGAACGCCACGCCCTTCCTCACCTTTGGCCAGGTAGCAGCCAACAGCGCAGTGGCCACGCCCTGCAGTGGCCCGCTCTTGACCCTTTACATCCCCCTGCCCCCCCACCCCCCCTCCCAGGTGCTGGTCAACGCAACCCCCTTCCTGACCTTCGGCCAGGTAGCAGCCAACAGCGCCATTCTCGAAGCATTGGCAGACGAGCCCCGGGTGCACATCATCGACTTTGGCATCGGCCACGCCCTGCAGTGGCCCGCTCTTGACCCTCACCGCTTTCCACCGCTCCCTCTGCTCCCCTTACCACTTTACCATCAGGTTCTAGTGAACGCAACGCCCTTTCTTACTTTTGGTCAAGTCGCAGCCAACAGCGCCATACTCGAAGCTCTTGCCGACGAGCCCCGGGTTCACATCATAGACTTTGGCATCGGCCACGCCCTGCAGTGGCCGGCTGTTGTCCCTCACCGCTTTCCATCGTTCCTTCTGCTCCCCATACCCCTGTACCATCAGGTGCTGGTGAACGACACCCTTCCTGACCTTCGGCCAGGTAGCAGCCAACAGCGCCATCCTAGAAGCATTTGCAGACGAACCCCGCGTTCACATCATCGACTTTGGCATCAGCCACGCCCTGCAGTGGCCGACTCTCCTGCAGGCATGACTTTTGGCCATGCACTCCAGTGGCCCGCTCTTGACCCTTTACATCCCTCTCGCCCCACCTCCCCCTCCCCCTCCCAGGTGCTGGTGAACGCCACGCCCTTCCTGACCTTTGGGCAAGTAGCAGCCAACAGCGCTATACTCGAAGCATTGGCAGACGAACCCCGCGTTCACATCATCGACTTTGGCATCGGCCACGCCCTTCAGTGATCTCCTGCCATCTCCTGTCTGCCACCCCCTCTCTCTCATCCCCGTGCCATCAGGTGCTGGTGAACGCCACGCCCTTTTTAACCTTCGGGCAGGTAGCAGCCAACAGTGCAATTCTCGAAGCTCTAGCGGACGAGCCTCGAGTGCACATCATCGATTTTGGCATCGGCCACGCCCTGCAGTGATCCCATGCCATCTCCCATCCGCCATCCCCTCTCTGTCATCCCCGTGCCATCAGGTGCTGGTGAACGCAACTCCTTTCCTCACTTTTGGGCAGGTAGCAGCCAACAGTGCTATACTTGAAGCGCTAGCGGACGAGCCTCGAGTGCACATCATCGACTTTGGCATCGGCCACGCCCTGCAGTGGCCCGCTGTTGACCCTTTCAATCCCCCTGCTGCCCTCCCCCTCCCCTTCCCAGGTGCTGGTGAATGCGACTCCTTTCCTCACCTTCGGCCAGGTAGCAGCCAACAGCGCCATTCTCGAAGCAATGGCAGACGAGCCTCGGGTTCGCATCATAGATTTCGGCATCGGCCACGCCCTGCAGTGGCCGGCTCTCCTGCAGGCGCTGGGTGCTCACTTGCTAGCTACTAACGCTGCTCTTTTCCTTCCCTGTACCATCCCTCCCGGTTCCTAGGTGCTGGTGAATGCAACGCCCTTTCTGACTTTTGGTCAAGTCGCAGCCAACAGCGCCATTCTCGAAGCGCTAGCGGACGAGCCTCGGGTGCACATCATCGACTTTGGCATCGGCCACGCCCTGCAGTGGCCGGCTCTCCTGCAGGCGCTGGGTGCAAGGCCAGGGGGGCCGCCTCACGTACGCGTGACGGGCATCGAGGTGCCTCAGTGCGGGGCCATGTCGCCGTATTGTGCCATGAAGGCAGGGAAGCGACTGGAGGTGGGTTTCTTGTGACATGTATTGCACTCAGAGGCATGGCATTCCAACCTGGCCTCATATGTGCGCGTGACGGGGATAGAGTTGCCTCAGTGCGGGGCAATGTCGTCCTACTGTGCCATGAAGGCAGGGAAACGGCTGGAGGTGAGTCCCTTGGGGCATATATACGAGACAGACACAGGCGTGACATCTCTACCTGGCCCCATATGTGTGCGTGACAGGCATCGAGGTGCCTCAGTGCGGAGCCATGTCTCCTTACTGTGCCATGAAGGCCGGGAAAAGACTGGAGGTGAGTCAAACCGTGAGGGTTCTCAACCCTCCTCGTGTGCGCGTGACGGGGATTGAGGTGCCTCAATGCGGGGCCATGTCTCCCTACTGTGCGATGAAGGCAGGGAAGAGACTGGAGGTGAGCTTGAGGCATGGAGGTGAGAAGGAAGAGAGTGAAGATGATTGACTGGTGGAGAGTAAGAGCAGAGCCGTGCGAGCTGAGCACATTCAATCAACACACTGCAACCCCCCGCCCATATCGTCCTCCATACTCTGCTGCTTTTCTGACCCTTCCGCTCTTCTCTTCCCAACCCATATCGCCCTCTCCCCTCCCCCTCCCCCATCCCCATTCCCCCCCTCCTTCCCCCCACACCAGGCAGCAGCAGCCATGTGGAGAGTACCCTGCAGTACCACTGGGTGATGTCTCGCCTGGAGGACGTCACTCCAGCCTGTCTTCTCTCTCCCTTTCCCCCCCACCAACACCAGGCAGCAGCAGCCATGTGGAGAGTACCCTGCAGTACCACTGGGTGATGTCTCGCCTGGAGGACGTCACTCCAGCCATGCTCAACCTGCACCCAGGGGAAGAACACTTATAATCCATCCCCTCTCTCCTTTCTTTGTCCTCTCTTCACTCTACTGCCCACCCATACAGGCAGCAGCAGCCATGTGGGGGGTACCCCTCCAATACCACTGGGTGATGTCTCGCCTCGAGGACGTCACTCCAGCCATGCTCAACCTGCACCCAGGGGAAGCCATCGCAGCCAACTGCGCTCTCCGCCTCTCCCAACTCCTCGACGAATCAGAGCAGCCCAATGCTGCTGCCAACCCTGCCACCGCAGCTAGCGCGGTCTTCGCCAAGCCTGTCACCGCACCTGGTTCCGAGCCTGGTTCCGAGCCTGGTTCCGAAGCAGTGGGAGCAGCAGTCGGTGCGGATGTGGACAGGAGGGCGGACATTGACGGGGCGTATCTAGACAGGTCGTATCTGGACGGCTCAGATTCAAACAGGGCATATCTGGACGGCTCAGATCCAAATAGGGCATACCTGGACGGCTCAGATCCAGACAGGTCGTATCTGGCGAAGGCAGATTCGGACGAATCCCCGCGCATGAGAGTGCTGAGAACGATTCGGATGCTGAGGCCCAAGGTGGTGACGGTGGTGGAGCAATACAGCAACCACTCCTCGCCCTTCTTCCTCGCGCGGTTCTACGAGGCTCTCTACTATTATGCAGCGCTGTTTGAGTCGATTGACGCTTCTTTGCCAAGAGATGAAGTCGCAAGACGAGTGTTTGAAGAGCAGGTGAGTCCCGTTGCTTGCTGGTCGTTGTGTGGGAGTTTGCTTTGCCCCAAGGTGGTGATGGTGGTGGAGCAATACAGCAACCACTCCTCGCCCTTCTTCCTCGCGCGATTCTATGAGGCGCTCTACTATCATGCGGCACTGTTTGAGTCCATTGACGCGGCGCTGCCTAGAGATGAAGTGGCACGACAAGTGTTTGAGGAGCAGGTGGGTCTCAAATGTTTCTCCTTCTCTGTCAGTGCCAATGTGTTTTTCTACTGGGTTTAGGGTTGAGTTGAGAGAGGTGTCGCCGCCCAGGAATCAAGTTGGTTGACAAGTGCTTGAAAAACAGGTGGTTCTTCTGTCTATATTGTTGGTCCTTCTTCCCCTCTTTTTCCCATCCTAATAGGTGCTAGGCCGGGCAATTGTGAATCTGGTGGCGTGCGAAGGGCAGGAGAGGGTGGAGAGGCAGGAGCCGTTGGAGCAGTGGCAGCAGCGGATGCTCAGAGCGGGGTTCAAGCCACGGGGGCTGAGCGAAGGGGTGGTTACCACCCTGCATGCACTGTTACAAACGTGAGTATAGTTACCACTTTGCAGGTGAGTTAAGATACCAAAGGCAGGAGCCATTGGACCAGGGGCAGCAGAGGATGCTCAGGGGGGGTTTGGAGCACCGGGGGGTTGAGTGAGGGCGTGGTTACCACCCTGCATGCACTGTTACAAACGTGAGTCTGGTTGCAAACGTGAGTGCAGTTACCAATCCGCTAGGGACAGAAGAAGGTGAGAGTTCTTGGAGCAGTGGCAGCAGAGGGTGCAGAGGGCAGGGTTCGAGCCCCGGGGGTGAGTGAGGGGGTGGTTACCACCCTGCATGCACTGTTACAAACGTGAGTAAGGTTTTCACTGAAGATGAAGATGAAGATGAACTTTTAAAAATGAGTTGATTACTTGTCGGCTAACAGATGTGATCGTCCCGTTAAAAATTGCGTCCTCATCCTTCTCTGTCCCATCTTCCATGTGGTTTGCGTGAGATCTGGTTCACCTGTGGCACTGATGACATGTGTGGTGTTTGTTGGCATGATTACACATGGCACGGAATGATGACACATGGCATGGCATGCTGGCACGTGGCATGACATGCTGACATGTGCATGGCATGGTGACACGTGGCAGGTACAACAAGGTGGGGCATGACGTGCGGAGAGTAGACGAAGCGAGCGTGGTGCTGACGTGGAAAGGCAACCCGCTGTTGGCTATGATGGCATGGGAACCGCAGGAGTGATGGCATGGGAACCAGAGTGATGGCATGGGAACCACAGGATTGATGGGATCATGGGATGGGAGGTTGGCACGTGGTGACGAGAGGAAGGGCAACACCCTATTGGCCATGATGGCGTGGCAACCACAGGAATTTTGGGTGGATAACACCTAGTAACCAGAGGAAGGTTGACTGATGGTAACCGGATGCGGGTACGTCATGGTTACCATATGTTTGGAGAAGTGATGCTCGCATCTGGTTCCCATGACATATTATGGGATGGGATAAGAATCACATGGATCGTGGGTGGACGATGGATGGTGATTTGGTAACCAAAGATAAGGTGAGATGGCATGGGAACCACACGGATAGTGCTGGGAAGGCACATGGTAACCAGATGGAGGTTGATGTGGTTACCACAGGACTGAAGAACTGGTTCGGGAATTGCAGGGATAGTGGGTGGTTGGATTGGAAGTAACACCTGGTAACCAGACACAGGGTTTGTGTGGTTACTGCGTTAATGAGTGAAGTGCAAACCACAATAGTGCTGCAGGGTTGGTTGCTTGCTTGGTTATATAAACGCTTTGCCAAATTGCTGTAATTATGCTGTAGCATGAACAAGTTATCCTGTACATTAGTGACGATTGATCTGCTTCAAGTGCAGAGATTGAATATCCTCATGGTTTCTTTGGTGATTGGGTGACTATTTCTACCGTGGTTGTAACAAGCGCAATGTCTCTCTCCATCACCTTCATCCAATTCTCAAAGTCTCCAATTTCCTGCATGGAAAAAAAGGAAGCACCACCACAGTGGAAGGTAGGGGAGGAAGGTAGGGGAGAAAGGTAGGGGAAGGGTGTGTGAGTAGTCTAAAAAATCATGTTCCATGTGCACATGTCCATGTGTGTCCCATGTGAACATGAAGATTTTTCTAGACTACTCACAGACATGTGCATGTGTGTCAAAATGCCGCTTATTACCTTGATCGCAGTCTGGAGCTCGTCAAATGCTGTGGCCCATTCAATGCTGTGGACCATTTCCTGTGCTGCTCCTGGAACCACCCCATCTCCCCCAGCTCTGACCTTGATTGCCGTTCAGAGGGGCTCACCTTGATTGCAGTGTGGAGCTCGTTGAATGCTGCAGCCCACTTTCTGTGCTGCTCCTGGAACCGCGCCACCTCAGATACCACCTCCCCCAGCTCCGCCTGCACTGCTCCCTCCTGCCGCACTGCCTCCCTCACACCCGACACCTCGCTAAGCGTTTCTCTTAGCGCCGCTGCCAGTGGCTCTGCTGCCACCAGTGATGCCAGTCTTGCCTCGACTGCACGGGAAGGGGGTCCGGAGGAAAGCGAGAAAAAGGATTCAAAGGGAGAAACGAGACGGAAAGCGGCTGCTGATATAGAGCAGCGGCGTTTAGAGACGTCTTGAGATTTGAGAGAATACTTCTGTGACCTGTCCACTTCATGTAAGTGTTCAGGGCTGGCTGATAATATATTTTAGAAAATGCCCTGAACTGCGCCACTGACACGCGCAGTGGCGACGTAGAAAAAACAAACGACCTAATCGTTCCTGTGTGATGCCCTCCTTCGCGTTTTCCGGCAGCCCCTTCCTGTCGCTTCGCGTCCGGTACATTCTTTTTACCGTATACACTGTCACTGACGCGGCTCAGGAGCAGGACGCGTGGGGAATGCTTGGCAACAAGCTGCGAACTATTTGCAGACGTCTAGCTTAGTATGTTGAACTACCATGCAGAATTTATTACTAATGAGACCTGTTTTATGCCCAGGCGCGAGACTAGCTCATAATCGCCGGCGAAACGAGCTGATTAGACGAAATCCTCACGAAATCGATGGGACTATCCGCTAGGGAGCGTTACGATGAAGATCACTTTCCCTAGACTTTGTTAATAGCTTCAAAAGTGTACACTTGTTTCAAAGAGGATGCATACCAAACAACTACACACATTGAAGCATTCTTATCTTCATCACATATTTGAACAGTTTGTAACTATTAACACTGAGTTGTTTTAGCTCTACAAGACTACCTGCTAGCACCAAACCAGAACTTGATATCCGGGTGTAGTACATCTAGCTGCAAGCCACTCAAATTGAACAGAAGTGCAGCATGGTTGACATTCTAACACCGTATGCACAATGCCCCCTTAAAGCTTCTCTAGGACTAGGACGCTGCTGTGTAGAAATAGACTGATTGGATCCCAAGCAGCATTTCAAACCCTCGCTCTGTAGCAGGGGAATAAATACAAGAGAAAAATATGCACAAGTTGAAGGTGGTTCAACATCTGACACATGATGAAGAAGATAAAGCAATCAATAAATATGCATTGCAGCATAAGCAGTTGCACAAGAGCATGAAAGTGAATGCTGTTACAGAAACGAACCTGCGAGGGAGCCGAGAAGAGGAATCGGGCGAACCAACGAACGAATGCCTTCTAGAGGATGCCTGCAAGCATGGAAAGGAGGGGTAAGCAAGACAGCAGAACCCACATTGAGTAAGGGAGCCGAGTAGAGGAATTGGCCGAACAACAACAGACTGAATACGAACGGAACCAAGTTACATTGGGATGAAAACAGGGTTACCTTGTGACGGCATCAAAGCAGGGCGAGCGCAGCAGGTACATGACTAGCAGCATGCGCCTCCGCGCAAGCTGTGGCAGCAAGAACACAGAAGTTCATGGGGAGGGAGAAAGTGAGAGGATTCTTCAGGCATTACAAAGAATCGAAGCAGGGCAAGCGGAGAAGATACATGATGAGCAGCATTTGCCGTCGGGCAAGCTGTGGCAGCAAGAACGCGAGGATAGGCAGGGAGGGAAAAAGCGAGAGGAAGAATCGGTCAAATGCGAAGAAAATGCAAAGAAAGTTGCAAAGATAAGGATCCCTCATTACGGGTCACCAAGCCAGTCAAGAACGAGGTACAAGTGCACACACACACACACACACACATACACACACTTTCGAACATCGGCTATTTGCTCGTATTGTAACCAAAACAATCTCGTACTCACATCGGCTCGCTCCTCATCAGTTAGCTGAAACACCTCCTTTTGTGCCACGCTTCCCTCCGTCCTTCTGGCATCAGCAGCTGTAGCAGCAGCAGCTCTAGCAGCAGCAGCTGTAGCAGCAGCAGCAGGCTGAGAGGGATCAGCATCAGCAGCGGTAGCACCAGCGGCAGCAGCAGCAGCGGTAGTGGCGGCAGCTTGGGAGGCGAGGCGATGGAGGAGCAGGGAGGCAGCATCGAGGGAGAGGGAGAGCAGCCAGGGGTTCCATCGCACCCACCACCACCACCACCACCTCCTGCCCGGCTGGCCTGGTAGGGGCTTGACAGCAGCACTGCCTGGTAAGATGAGAGGGATACAAGGGAGAGATGGCAGATGATTAAAGAGAGGGAGAGGGAGAGCAGCCAGGGGTTCCATCGCACCCACCTCCACCACCACCTCCTGCCCGGCTGGCCTGGTAGGGGCTTGACAGCAGCACTGCCTGGTAAGATGAGAGGGATACAAGGGAGAGATGGCAGATGATTAAAGAGAGGGAGAGGGAGAGCAGCCAGGGGTTCCATCGCACCCACCTCCACCACCACCGCTTGCCCGGCTGGCCTGGGAGCGGTTTCACAGCGGCATTGCCTGGAATGGGCACACAGGAAGATACCAGGGGGAGAAGAGGAAGGGGACAGAGCGATCATCAGCTGCTGCAGCAGCGGCAGAAGCAGCGGCAGCAGCAGTCGCTTGAGAGGCGAGGCGATGGAGGAGCAGGGAGGCAGCGTCGAGGGAGAGGGAGAGCAGCCAGGGGTTCCCTATGTTGGAAAGCCCTTGGGGGGTGGGCGTATTGCGTAAATACGCTAGCGTATGTACGCAATACGCTAATACGCCTAAAAAACGCTAAAGTACGCCGGGGCAGCGCTTTAAATAAAATATATATATATATATATATATATATATATATATATATATAAAAACCTCAATTTTTCTTGCGAGAATTTGCGACGGCGAGAACTGAACCCTCGACCTCGCACAGCACCCAACCCCTGTCTGCAATTCGAAAATTAAAATCCAACCCCTCCCACATCCCCAACCACACACTACCCCTCTCAACCTTCCAAAACCAACCTCTTCCCTTTCACTCGTTCGAACATCTCGTCAATCCCTAAACAGCTCGTCTTTCATTCAATCCCGCATTTCTGTTCTTGCATTTCGTCCAACTCTCGTCGAGCTCGAAATCTCCTAGCTTTAGTACTTCCTCGCCATGGCGACCTCTACTCCCTACAGTTCGAGGGCGAAACCTGCCCGGGAAAAAAGTTTTACCTGCCCGCCCAGCGTATTTTTGCGTATCAGCAGTACGCCAGCCATGGCGTACCGCATATATACCCAACGTATAATACGCTAGCGTATTATACTCGATACTCGTATTTTCCAACGTAGGGGGTTCCATCGCACCCACCACCACCACCACCTCCTGCCTGGCTGCCCTGGGAGTGGTTTGAGTGCTGCTGTGCCTGGAATGAACACAGAGGGAGATACCAGGGAAGGGAGAGGGAAGGGGGCAGCACGATGAACAGCAGCAGCAGCATGAAAAGAGGAGACGAATGCTCTGCCTAAGGCTGATATAACTTGCGTGTAATTGACGTAACTCCAGTGGAGCGAGCTGCTTTGGCAGCGGCTCGAATGGCAAGCACGTAGAGGAGTCAATTTTCACAGCGCCTCACTACTGTATGATATTATCGCCCTGTGCGGTTTTGAAGTCTAGCCGGTGTCCTCACCTGCTCTGGACCGAGCAGCTCTGGCAGCGGCTCGAATGGCAAGCACGTAGAGGAGCCAAGTTAGGGCATGGAGAAGGGGTCCTGTGTGGTTACCACGTGAGGTTACAATGTCTGGTTAAGTCCTCACCTGCTCTGGAGCGAGCAGCTTTGGCAGCGGCTCGTATGGCGAGCACATAGAGGAGTCAAGTTAGGGCATCAAGAGGGGTTCTGTGCGGTTACCATGTGAGGTTACGGTGTCTGGTTAAGTCCCCTCACCTGCTCTGGAGCGAGCTGATCTGGCTACAGCTCGAATAGCGAGCACGTAGAGCAGAGGGCGGAAGATGTGGATCAGCTCTGCTGTCACGTGCATGCAGCTGGGGAGATGGGGAGATGGAGAGATGGGGAGATGAGGAGGGAGAATAGGAATTGAAAAAAGAGGGTGGACAGTTATGGGTCATGATCTGATGGCATGGAATGGCAAGCAAGCACGTAAAAGAGAGGGCGGAAGATGTGAATAAGCTCTTCTGAGACGTGCAAGTAGCTAAGGGGATGGGGAGGGAGAAGGCGCGATCAAGAAACGTGAGGGAGAACAAGTGTGAGTCGTGCGTTGATGGTGTGTTTGAAGTTAGAATGGAGTGATGGGCACGTGCAGAGAGAGCGAAAGGTAAAAGAAAATAACGAAGTGCGACAGGGAGCAGTGCGGCAGAGGACTCACCGAATCCAATCTACTTGCTTTGACTTGAACAGTGCTCGACTTTGTTCCCCAGAAGCTTCAACAAGCTACACCCAATCGTCCAAGCAACAGAAAAAGAACTCTACATAATTTCCGTGCGTGATGAGCCTAGTTTCGGGTCGACTCGAAGGAAGACTCACCGAATCCAATCTACTTGCTTTGACTTGGACAGTGCTCGACTTTGTTCGCAAGCCGATGCTATTTTTGAGGCGCCTCAAAAGTAGACTCACCGAATCCAATCTACTTGCTTTGTCTTGGACAATGCCGGACTTTTTTCCCCAGCTGACGTGGTGTCCCCATCGTCCACGCACGCAGCTGACGTGGCAGACCCATCTTCCACGTGTGCAGCTGACGTGGCGCCAGCTGGAGCCTTTCCAACAATCCCGTTGGAGTCTGCCGCATGAACCCCGCCTGGGTGTTCTGTACCCTCTGCTGCAGCGCTTACAGCAGCAGCAGATGCGGCAGCAGCATTCCTCACACCACCAGCACCACCGTTTTGCTGTGCCCCATACTGCTGCTGCTGGTTACGTTGTTGCTGCTCATAATACCACTGCTGCTGCTGGTAGTGCTGCTGTTGCTGCTGCTGTTGGTACTGGTTCTGCTGGTGGTGCTGGTGCTGGCGGTGGTAATGGTGAGACTGCTGCTGCTGCAGTTGCTGACCCCCCACCTGCCTCTGGAACCGCTGAAACGCACCCAGTGCCCTAGTCGTTGCTGCCTGCTGTCCATTCACGCCCCGGTGGTTACCACCGTTACCACCACTGTAACCCATAGGACCACCTGTGCTATGCTGCTGCTGCTGCTGCTGCTGCTGATAGAGGGACGGCTGCTGGGCTTGTAACGAGGATGAATTTGATGGGGTAGGGGAGGGTTTGCTTGGGCCAGGATTCTCCGTGCTGCCTCCTCCAATGAGCAGTCGCCACCTGTCGCGGTGCAACAGGAGCAGGCGGATTGCGGCCCTGCAGAGAAGACACATCAGAAGCCCGGTCAGCACGAGAGGAGCAGGAAGAGAAAGGAGAGAGAAAGGATGAAAAGAGAGGATGATGAACGGAGAAGATTCAAAAAAAGCCTTCAGCAAAACTTAGTCTTGACAAAAAAAAAAAAAGGAAATCTCGAATCTCCAAGCCCTTGCTCTGCCGCCATCTCACTTAATTCCCTTCCTCCCCCCTTCCCCCCCACCCAGTTACTCACTTGGCTGCTTCGATACCAGCAACAGCAATTCACTCGGTGTCTCCCACGTGATAATAAAAGTTTGAGACGTCTCAAACCACTTGGCGCCTCCCCAAGAGGCTCCCTGTGAATACCCATCTGTTCCTCCCCATTTCGCCCCCATGACTCACTTGACGGCTTCGATGCCAGCAACAGCCGTCCACTTGCCGTCCTCCCCAAGCCATTGCTCTGCCGCCATCTCCTCCAGCACCTCCCTGTGAATACCCATCAGACCCCCCTTTCCTCCCATTCCCCCCACCCAGTGACTCACTTTAATGCTTCAATGCGAGCAACGACGCTCCACTTGCCCTCCTCCCCCAGCCATTGCTCGGCCGCCATCTCCCCCAGCACCTCCCCTCCTTCAACCCCGCCAGCACCAGCGCCCACGGAACTTTCCCCGTTCTCCTCTTACCTTCTCTCGATGTAGATTCATTACTCACTTGACGGCTTCTATCCCAGCAACAGCCGTCCACTTGCCCTCCTCCCCAAGCCATTGCTCTGCCGCCATCTCACCCAGCACCTCCCCCTCTTTCACCACCGCCAGCACCAGCGCCCACGGCACCATCCCTATTCCCCCCTTCCCCTCTCCCCCCTCCTCCTCTTCCCCTTCACCTTCTCCCCTCACCTCCGCCGCCTCCCCCGCCTCACCCCTGCCACTCTCTCTTCCCCCAATTCTTACCCCCGTTCTTCCCCCCCATCCCTCCCCCCCTTCCCGCCCCCATTCCCCTGGGATTTGTCCGCCAGGGGGGAGGGTATGGGGAGCGGGATAGGGGTAGGGGGAAGGGGGGAAACCAGTGGCGGGGAAGAGATGGGGGGAAGCTTGCGGGGGGAATTGGGATTGGGGGAAGGGGGGTGAGGGAAGGAGGCAGGATGGCCTATGACAGGAGGATGGGTAAAGGCTGGATGCGAATGGGGATGGGGATGATATTGCTGTTGGTGCTGCTGGTGGTGGTGGGGGTGTTGCTGGTATTGTTGATTCTGGATGAATTCTGGAGAGCCGTTGTGACTCAGCAGAGTGTGACTGTAAGGTGAAGGATATGGTGCGGGAAGGTTCACGTTCGGCGCATGGAGGTTTGGAGTGTGGTTCGGAGAGAGGCTCGGAGGAAAGCCGTGGGGTTGGAAGGGAGGGAGATTGCGGCTGTGGTTTGTAAGAAGATGTTGGCTGTGTGGGGGGAAGGAAGAGGGTTGACTGGCAGGCCTATGGGAGCGGCTGTTGGCTTGGGGAGGGGCTTCAGTAGGAGCTGTCTCGATAATGTGGTCGTTTATAACGGAGATCACTCCAATCAATGTCGAAACTGCCACCAAAACAAGAAAAACAATCAGAGGTGAGAATAGTACGCCGTTGCCAAAAACAAACAAGGCGCGAGCAAACAGCCTTCTACAGTTCTGCAGAAAACACTCAAGAGAACCAAGAATGAGAGAGAAGGAACGCAAAAGAACAAACGATAGCTTACGAGCTTCTGGTGCGATCTCTGACTCGGCCAATCGGTCAGGAAGGAGCCACGTGAGAGTCTGACCATGTGGGGAGAGAGGGAGGGAGAAGCAGGCAGAGAGAGAGGATGAGGTACTTGGCTATTTTGATATACGGACAAATTGAGGACGATAGAGGCACTGGAGTTGGCTTCCGGTGCAAGTTCTGACTCGACGTGCGTTCTAACAGAAAGAATTCACATTCACCATGCGTTCTCTTCGCTCACATGCGCCATGCTTTCGCTCACATTCGCCATGCTTTCGCTCACATTCGCCATGCTTTCGCTCACATTCGCCATGCTTTCGCTCACATTCGCCATGCTTTCGCTCACATTCGCCATGCTTTCGGCCGACGACAGCCATTGTCGGTTGCGGCGAACCCAGTCCTTGTAGGCCTCGAACGCCGCCACCGCCATGGTCGCGAATTCTCTTGACTGGGTCTAAACCCAATGCGCGAGCGAGTCAGTGAAGAATCAGTGATGCCAATCACCTAACGGGTATCTCTGCTACTCAATATCGAACCCAGTCCTTGAACGCGTCGAAGACCGCTACCGCCATGACCGCAACCTGCTCTTAGAGAATCCTGAGCCGACTCGGGAGCTCTATTGATCTCTGCGTCGCGCTCGCTAACCCTCAGGTCCTCACGACTATCATCCACTCCTCAGCCATTACACGCATCCAGCACAGCCACTGACATGATGCCTTACTGCTCGTGATCGTCACGTTTGCTCACTAGAGAGATCTTCACAAAAACGGTATTTCTCTTTGTCGACTCTCTCTCTGCATCTGTTTAGATGGGATTGCTCCACCTCGAACTTGCCGAGTTGGAGGAGCACACCCGTGACAATAGGCGATACAAAAAAGGCCACATGTTTCCTTCCTCGTTTTCGGTGTACTTTTCTTCCTAATTGTGTCAAGCATCTCACTGTAACGATTATTACGCTTTCCTATGCTCCAGCACAAATTTCGCATTTCAACAGCTCTTGGAGAAGTCATTTGAAATTATTGATCATTCACATGAGGTAATATACAGAGACACAGCCAGAGGCTGGTAAAATACTGCTAACAAACAACATGCCAGCGATCTAGCCATGAAAGGACACCCCATGGCCAAAAGCTACCATGCTGGAAAACAGAAAGATGCAGCACCAGTCAGATTGGTACCACAAAAAAGGGTAGAAAATGAAACCATATGTATCACCAGTACCAGGCTAACTGGCACTGGAAAAAGGGTGGCAGAACAGAATACTACTGATGTCCCTTGAAGGTTAACCAGGGCTGAAGCACAGGAGAAGACGCAAACCCGTGGAGGTACCACACCAGCTGCCGCCACAGAAAAAACGGGTATGCACCAACATTGCACCTCATCCTGTCTCGACCATGCTGAAACTTGAATCCCTCAAATAAAAGGATTGAATGAAAGAACTCATCACCCCATGAAAGAACTGAAATGAGAGCTACGATGCTCAATCCGCACGAGTCCAGTTCATGCGGTTCAGATTTGAACGCCAAGAAGGGACGGCCTGGGGCGGAGGAACTGATGATAGGTCGGCTTTTGGCGGGGCTCGGGGGACGAAATCGGGGTGAAGAATTCGGATACTCCCGAGGACGAGCCTGATGACGACGCTGAGATAGAGCGCGACTCGGCCTCGAACGCGCGGAGACTCTTGAGACGCCACTTGTACTCGCTGGTAGCGTCTTCGTTAAGGTCGCGCTTGATTGAGAGTAGATCTTGAACTGAAATTGTCTCACTGGTCTCAGCTGAATTTGTCTGTGCGAAGACATCAGGTGAGTCGCCTGTGCGAGGGATCTTCTTGGGATGTGTGTGGTCGGGCGACACAGCAGGCGACGAGCTGGGCGACGATGTCGCCAGGCCGGTGGTCGTCGACGGCGACGACGGCGGCGACTGCAAGCTCCGCACAACAAGCTCGAGAAGCGAAGCTGCCGCGTCGCGCTTGGCCTTACTGGCAGCAGTTACGCTGCGCGCCGCGGAGGTGATTCTTCCTGCAGAAGGACGTGGCTGATTCGGCTGCCGAAGCTGAGAGAGAGGATCGGCAACGGTTACTGCGGCGTGCACGTCGCAGGTGGTGGTCGCAGCAGTGTCGTTGGAGAGTTGCGCTACGACAGCCTCCAGCTGTTGCGACTGCTGTTGCGACGCCTGCTGCTGCGACTGCTCCTGCGACGCCCGCGACGGGAACACCTTCGACGGCTGTCGCGGAAACACAGCTCTTCGCGCGTGGGCGAGCCACGGGTGCGACATCACACCGTCGATGTCATATCTCTGCGCAGGATCGACGATCATCATTCGGCAGATCAGATCCCGCGCCGCGATCGACAATTTCGCCCACCCCGCGCTCCGGAAGTCGTTCGGGGTCAGCTGGCGCCGGTTTCCGGGAAACGCGGGCCACGTGGAAGTGAGCATGGAGTAAAGGAGCACGCCTAGAGACCACACGTCAGCCTTGGTGTTGTACGGCTGCTCTGCGAGCATCTCTGGCGCTTCGTACGGCATACTTCCACCGATTCCAACCATCGCGCACCCCGGCTTCAGCTGAAAAGCCAGTCCGAAATCCGCGAGACGAACGGACAGATTATCCGCGATAGAAGCAGAGGAAGATCCGGTAGTAGCGGCGGCGCCGGTCGTTGACTTAGTGAGAAGGATGTTCTCTGGTTTGATGTCACGGTGAACGATGCGGTGCGCGTGGCACCATCGGACGGCGCGTACGATCTGAACGAAGATCTTCGCCGCAGACGCCTCATCCAGGCCGTCGCCCGAACGGTCGACCAGATCGAACAGATCCCCGCCGTTGCACAGCTCCGTTACAAGATACACGGTCTTCTCATCAGCGTACACATGTGCGAGTGACAAGATATTTTCGTGGGCGCCCAGAATCGACAGGGAGTAAATCTCCCGTTGAAGATCAGCCATCTCAGCCTCTGATAGGCCCGCGGTGCGGATCTGCTTGCACGCCATTGGCTGACCCGAGGCGCGATCGACGCAGCGCCATACTTTGCCGTACTGCCCCTCGCCGATGATGTCGCTGAAGGCGAAGTCTTGCCAGAGCTGGGACGAAGGCTTCGGCTGCGGCATGGTCGTCGGATCGTGCGACTGAAATAGACAGATGCGAGCGGATTTGTGACGGATACCGAAACTGGGGTCGCACGTATCAAGGGTCCTCTATAAACGAAACACGGCTCCGTGCTAAAGAACTAATCGGGAAGACGGACGCCTAACAGAGATGAAGATGGGACCAGGATAGCTAAGACGTGATAGACTGACGCCTAATATAGCTGGAATAGGGGGAGGTAGATTTCTCCTCCTCGGCTGCTGCGGCTGGGAAGAGCGGGTAACTGACGCGTTTCTTGGTTGTCGTATTAGGGACGGACCGCTCGCTAAGGATAAAAGGGACCGTGGCGGCTGCAGTGGTACAGTATTGCAACAGCGACTGAGGCACCGACGACGAATCGTTCGAACGAGAAAAAAGAGCAGGCGTGTGTGGTACAGAAACGCCATGAATATCGACCAAAGCACCTGGAAGGAAACTGGTGAAGGATGCAGCAGCAGCCAGGAACCTAGGAGGTCCGCAAAGGTCTGCAAATGGCAGCGGCAGCGGCATCCCTTTGGCAGTGCGAGACAAAGGGTGTGGTAGAAATGGCGCATCGCATGCTGCGCTTCCTAGTGTTTGGGGTGGAGTGTACGACGCACAGAGCAGCAGCAGTTTGTTCCCCAAGTTGCTTGTGGTTTCCCCATGTCCGAGTTCGGGGCGCGGAGCACGATTCTGCTACACCTGATGCCTGTTTGAGCCCCTCCCGGTTGCCTTACGAAGGGGGCGTATAAGCTGTCACGAGCATTTCGCATAAGTTTCGGCAATTCGCAGCTAGCTAAAAATGATTCGCATGTGCTTATAAACAAGATCTGTAACCTAGTTTGACTTCAGTCTCCTCTGCTTGACTTCGGTCTGTACCTAGTTTGACGTCGGTCTGTTCGTTACTACTGGTTGATAACCACGCGACGCGCTTGTAATGTAGGTGCATGAAGCTGGGGAAACAACCTCGGGTGCAGCGTATCCATCCGGCGCAAGGCAAATTCGCGTGCATGGGGTGAGCATCAGCTGTATGCGGGAACTAGGCAGATAATTTTTCGTTTGAGTAGGTTTACAAAAAGGTAAGTAGTGGTTCAAGACGCTGACACAACCAAGCCGTTTTGAATAGCACCAAACCGCAATCAGCCGTTCTGGTTTAGCTTCTCACCACCAGCCCCGTACGATGATGTGAACCCGAAAAGAGGGGGAACATTAGCGACTGGTAACTGGAGCTTCTCGAAGACAAGACGAATATTTTCGCAAATACATAGCCAATCTAGCCGACGTTGTTCTGGCATAGCTGGCTTGGAGCGAGCGTGGCGCTGGCATGCGAAGGGGCATTCCTTCCGCGAAAATGAGGAAGCAAGCAAAGGAGGCCAACAGGAATGAAGTGCCACCCACACATGCACTTGCTCGACGCATCCAACCAACCAAGAGGCAGTGCATGGACACTGCCAAAACAAAAAAACCGAGTCGTGCCCAGCTTGGCCGTGACGTCAGTGATACAATTTCCACCAATCCACATAGGTTACTGTTCTCTCGATGTTTGGTTGCAACGCTTTCCCGCCCAAAACGCCCGAACTCGCTGGAAAACAGCAGGGATGTGGCTGCAGTTGCATTTCAAAAGCTGTCTTCACTTGCCTTAGATTTTGGTCTGGCCCAGATTTCATATCAGAATCTTCTTCGTCGCTTGCAAAGCCTCCAAGTGCTGCACGCGACCACGTCAATAGGTCCACTTTACAGCGACGCGCGAAAAGCAGCCAACGAGACCTACAGTACGTGGCAGGTTCATGACGCAACCCGGTAGGGACATCCAATGGGCATCAGCACGGAAGACAAATGCAGGGTCTCTCGTTCTACCAATGAGACAAGCGACCACACATCAGTTGCTGAAAAGGCCAGCCTGGCATGGCGACATTCCCTGTCTGGTCCGCCATCACCAAACAAACATATTCCAGATAGATAATTGGCGAAGGGTAACCAGTTCGCCAGCCTTTTTCCCAGCGTGAACAGTTGACGGGGAAGACGGTTACCGCATCGCCGGGCGTGAAAAAAGACGACCAAGCGTTAGATCGCAAGCGGCTGACGACTGCCGCGCGATACAGTGTAGTGTAGTTGATTGTTGAAATTCTGTCAGTCTGTATAATTGTTTCCATGGTTTTCTTTCCAATGCAATGTTGTATTAGTGAATTGTGTGAATGATGGGGTGGTTTTAAGGGGGGTTTTTTATGTTTGAAATGGACAAAGCATGTCTTCAGGTATCTATTCAATGCCGTTTCAGTGATTTTTTTGCATGGATGGCCATACAAATGCCTGAATTGTGGAGCTCAAAATGGTCATTTTAAGGGGGTTTTATGGACTTTTTGTTGGTTTTAAATGGGTTTTTTGGGGGGATTCTGTCTCCTCTAGTACTGATCTACTTTTTTTTTTTTTTTGAAAGTTTGCAAATGTTGCACTTTTTGGTTCATATTAGCCAACTCAAGTATGTCAGTAGTACATGCTAGGTCATTCTTTGGCAATCATTAAGTCAACATTGTTTTTTCTTATTTGTTATTTCATGGCATTCAATGCAATGTTAGGCTTTGAGTGCCCTGCCCATCACACATGCCATGTCAAACCAACGATGATGTGTGAGAAAATAGGGAAAACGTATGATGATTTGCTAGGGTGTTTTCAACGTTCATTTGCTGTGTTTCTTTATGATGACTTAGATGTTTTCCATCCCCAACAAATGTTAACATGGTGTCCTAGTGCTTCCATGGGTTTGAACCTTTGGGTTTTGGTCAATTAGATGATTTTTACATCGATTACAAGTACGGTCGGTTTGTGGAAGGTAGCATATATATTTGATTGTGGTTTTCAATGTTTTGTTGTTTTGGAATCGTGTGCCTTACACCTGGATTGCCTCCTTGCATTGTGCTTTGTGGTGTGGGGTTTGGGGAAATGGTATGTGTTTAGTTAGGCCTGCTTGCAATCTTGGTTGTTTAAAGTTAACACATTATTGTGCTAGGTGTAGTTTGTAGTAGCGCATTGAATGGGGTGGTCATTTTCGAGAGTGGAGGTAAGATTCGTGTGACTTCCCCGAAATGGAACTGCTTGTTCGGCGCATACGAGGTACATTTTCGACGAGCCCGATGCAGCGAAATTAGTAGCCCAATTTCGAGTTGAATAATAGCGATCGGGCGACTGAATTTGGGCAAATTTCGAAATCGACCGTCCTTGCATGGACTCGAATTCGAAATCACTGACCTCCACGTGGCGGCTCAGGATAACTCTCGAAATTGGCATGGGGGAGATGGTTATTGGTCGGATTCTGTCGTTGTCAGATTTTCAGAGTGCAGCACAAGATTGAGATTGTCCCGATACGAGGGCTTTAGATCGCGGGTCAGTATGGGTTTCATGGCTTGGGGTGGCACTGCCATTGATAAATGCAACCTTTTTTGTCGCCACAACCATACAGGGTCGAATGTTTGAACACGACCTCAAAGTCCAGGCTCAGGATGGTGTTGGGCGGGTATAAATGCCCAACGGAGGTCATTTTCTCATTTTAAATCTTCTCCTTCAGTTTTTGTCCAACTTCTTCCTTAGATCCCAGCCTCCCAGCTTCCACCACTTCGTCAATGGAGCCTTCGATGGAAGTAGAGGCTGCTGGCTTGCGTGTGCGCCTCTCTCGTTTAGAGTTCGAGAACATGCGATTCAAGCGTGGGGAATGGACCGAGAACATGCTCAACTTTGCTATGGTGTAAGATGCCCTTGTAGTTTTGTTTCTCGGATAGATGTGTGACGTTTCGAGATTTACGTTCTCTGTCACGTGTAGAGTACTAGTAGCGATCTAGCAAATAACGCTCTCGCCGCTCTAACGTTTAAACCATCTTCCGAGTACTAGTCTCCTTTATTCTACTGCCCAAAGTAAGCGATCTCTATTTCGAGAGATATTTCCGCGAAGACGGATGTGTTGTGTAGCGCTGGTCTGATCTCTGAAAGCTCCTTGTGTTGTCTCTTGCAGGAAGATTGCAAAGGAGAGGCTGACCGCGGACCAGCTGTCAAAAGTCGAAATCATCCCCATGAGTGCAGTCAACACGGCCCGGGCGAAACAACCGTACGAACCCATGGGTCCTGGCAGACTCGATGGTGTGCTTGGCAAGCAACTCGTAGTCTTTCCGCTGTGGTCAAGGTGAGTTCGAATTGTAGAGGTTCCGGTATCAATCTTTATTTCTCTGAAAATACAACGGCTGTTCGATTATCCGAGCTTTTACGCGCTTGCTAACCTTTCCCCCCACCGCCCCATGCAGCATGACTGCCGAGCCTGGAGCGCGCTGTAGCCTTTTCATGCTTGTTCGGCCCGACAGTTTGGCCGACCACCCGAATATTCCGGTTGCGACACGTCTTCTGCATTTCGACCCCAAGTCGAATTCTCCAGCACACAAGCACACCGACCTCGCCCTTCAAATGGTCAAGTAAGGTTTAACTATTGTCGCTCGTCACATGTGCAAATGACGGTACGGCAGAGCATAGCCTAATTTTGTCGGGAATTCACATGCCGAGCAGATGGCTGGAGGTGCAGCTCTTGACAGAATATTCTAGAGGAGAAGCACTCACTCCAAACTCGGAGGAGCAGGAAACTTTCCGCGACATCAGGAGACGGATTATGAGCGGGTGGAGGCTCGACATAGCGGGAGTAAGTTTGCAATGCAAACTCGGAATTCAGCTCGGACCTCTAAGCAGGACAAGCCCTGACCAGCTCCCTTTCATTTTCATGCAGAAGCTAACTCCAATGGTCAGCTCGAGGGAGGTCGGAAGCGGTTCTCATGTAGCGTACCAGTGGCGTAAGGTGCTCGATCATTTTGACTCGATTCTCTTACAGCATGATCGAGATGATAAATTTAGGGTTCTTGGAAAACCACCCTACCGGCGAGAGGATATATTCAAGGACATAGTGACCAGCTGCAAAAAGTATTTTGACAAGCTAGCGGCAGGTGATGAGGAGGATGCGGGAGAGGTGGACCTGGAACCCATTGGGGACGCTGCTGAGGACACGGGTGCCCCGCCCGTTATTGACGCTGAAATAGTCGCGTTGGGGGCAATGGTTGCTGACGGCGCACGAATGGGTCTGGCCAACGAGCGTCAGAGCGTAACGGATGGGGAGGGTCAGATGATGGACAGAGAGGAACCACCTTTTCAGAGGAGTGCGCGCGAGATCTTGCGTGGAATGAGGGAGGCGCAGCAGAGGGCACCAGAGGATAAGACCGAGCGTTGCGGGTCGGAGACCCAACAACAGAGGGGGGAGGGGGAGAGGATGGAGGAGTTAGCAATTGGTTTAGAGGCAGTGCACCTCTCGGTCGAGAATGATGAACAGGAGGAGCAGGGGCAGGGTATGGACATGAGGCAGGGCAGTCCGAATGTCGTAGGCGAATCGGAGGATGAGGTCCTGAGAGCGGAACGCGATAATAGGGTGGTGTATCAGAGGCGGGAGACAAGAACAAAGAAGAACTATGATTAGGAGCGGGAAGCACGCGAGGAGGAAGAGGCGAAGCGGAGGGTGGAACAGAAGCGTGTGAGGCTCGAGGACCAGGAGCGAGAGGTGAGTGCGATGGAGGGGGACAAGGAGAGTGAGGAACGCGAACGCAAGAGGGAGGAACAGCGGAAGAGGGAGGAGGTGAGGAAGGTGTGGCGCGAAAAGGAAGAGAAGCGGCAGAGGGAGGAGGAAAGGCAGGCTGAGCGCGAAAAGGAGGAGAAGCGGCAGAAGGATGAAGAGCGGAAGAGGGAGGAGGAAAGGCAGGCAGAGCGCGAACAAGAGGAGAAGCAGCAGAGGGAGGAGGAAGAGCGCAAAAAGGAGGAAAGGCAGGCTGAGCGCGAACAGGAGGAGAGGCGGCAGAGGGAGGAGGAAGAGCGGAAGAGGGAGGAGGAGAAAAAGGCTGAGCGCGAAAAGGAGTCGGAGCGGCAGAAGGATGAGGTGGAGCGGAAGAGGGAGGAGGAGAGGAAGGCAGAACGCGAAAAGGAGCAGAAGCGGCAGGAGGAGGAGGAGGTGAAGAGGGAGGAGGCGCGGAAGGCCGAACGCGAAAAGGAACATAACCGGCAGAAGGAGGAGGAGGAGGAGAGGAAGAGGGAGGAGGCGAGGAAGGCGGAACGCGAAAAGGAGGAGAAGCGGCAGAAGGAGGAGGAGGAGCGGAAGAGGGAGGAGGCGAGGAAGGCGGAACGCGAAAAGGAGGAGAAGCGGCAGAAGGAGGAGGAACGGAAGAGGGAGGAGGCAAGAAAGGCAGAACGCGAAAAGGAAGATAAGCGGCAGAAGGAGGAGGAGCGGAAGAGGGAGGAGGCGAGACAGGTAGAACGCGAAAAGGAGGAGCAGCGGCAGAAGGATGAGGAGGAGCGGAAGAGGGAGGAGGCGAGGAAGGCGGAACGCGAAAAGGAGGAGAAGCGGCAGAAGGAGGAGGAGGAGCGGAAGAGGGAGGAGGCGAGGAAGGCGGAACGCGAAAAGGAGCAGAAGAGGCAGGAGGAGGAGGAGGAGCAGAAGAGGGAGGAGGCTAGGAAGGCGGAACGCGAAAAGGAGGAGAAGCGGCAGAAGGAGGAGGAGGAGCGGAAGAGGGAGGAGGCGAGGAAGGCGGAACGAGAAATGGAGCAGAAGAGGCAGGAGGAGGAGGAGGAGGAGCAGAAGAGGGAAGAGGCTAGGAAGGCGGAACGCGAAAAGGAGGAGAAGCGGCAGAAGGAGGAGGAGGAGCGGAAGAGGGAGGAGGCGAGGAAGGCGGAACGCGAAAAGGAGGAGAAGCGGCAGAAGGAGGAGGAGGAGCGGAAGAGGGAGGAGGCGAGGAAGGCGGAACGCGAAAAGGAGCAGAAGAGGCAGGAGGAGGAGGAGGAGCAGAAGAGGGAGGAGGCTAGGAAGGCGGAACGCGAAAAAGAGGAGAAGCGGCAGAAGGATGAGGAGCGGAAGACGGAGGAGGCGAGGAAGGCTGAACGCGAAAAGGAGCAGAAGCGGCAGGAGGATGAGGACGAGCGAAAGAGGGAGGAGGCGAGGAAGGCGGAACGCGAAAAGGAGCAGAAGAGGCAGGAGGAGGAGGAGCGGAAGAGGGAGGAGGCGAGGAAGGCGGAACGCGAAAAGGAGGAGAAGCGGCAGAAGGAGGAGGAGGAGCGGAAGAGGGAGGAGGCGAGGAAGGCGGAACGCGAAAAGGAGGAGAAGCGGAAGAGGGATGAGGAGGAGCGGAAGAGGGAGGAGGCGAGGAAGGCGGAACGCGAAAAGGCGGGGAAGATTGTGGAGGCCAACGAGCGAGAAACGCGCGAGGAGGCGAGGGTGGAGGAGCGAGAGCGACAGAGGCAGGTCGGTGAGACCGGGGAACGAGAATCGCGTGAAAGGGAGGAAGCGCGGCAGAGGCAGGATCGGGAACGAAAGAGAACTGAAAGCGAACGCAGAAGAAAAGAGCTTCAGAGGCTCGAGCACGAAAGGTTTGTGGCGAGGCAGACGGAGCAAGCGGGTGTGCATCAGGGTGTGGAGCGTCCGAGGGATCGACCTGTAGAGAACGAGCGCCGTGGGATGGGGGGCGCTACACAGAGGCAGGAAAGGCAGAGGGAGGTTGCTGGGTTGAATGAGCGAGGTGCTGGGGGGCAGCGGCGTGTGGCTGAGGGCCAGAGGGGCGCGAGGTTCTTCCCAATGCAGTTGGGGCGGGATGTAGGGGATGGAGCTCGGCAAGTGGTGGTTGGCGACCAGCCAACCCTGGGGCATCACGGAACAACTGTTGGTCGGGCAGCGGATGTTGGTTTACCGGGATTGAGAACAGGCGGACCGAGGCCGATGATGCAGCGGGAAGGTGGCCGGCGTGATGATCAAACAGCCCGGAACAGGGTCGGCGCGGGAGACCATAGGAGGTTCGATCAGTCAAGGCAAGCTGGTAGGCGAGAGGGTGAAGCGATTGGAACGCGGCAGGGTGAGCGAATGGCGGAGGATCAGGTCTGGCGTGGGGTGGGATGGGGAATGGAAGGAGTGCGACACAGGGAGTTTCAGCAGAGAGAGGCGGGAGGACGTGCGGACGAGGAACTAGAGAGTGCGGCTAGTGCGCTCCCCATGCAGAGGCGGCATCCACGAGCGGCAGAGAATCCTGCTGCGGTGCAGGGAGAGGAACTAGAGGATGGTGAATGGGTGGCTGTGGAGGCGCTACTGGCGGGACTGGAGCAAGCGGGGCCGCAGGTTTTCGAGGAGACGGAGCGAGGATTTGAGGAGGCTGGCGACCGCATCGCAGCTGGCGGCAGGATGCATACCACAGCAGAGTTGATGCGGCGTCTGACCTTGGTGGCAAGGTCCGTGGCGAGGGCTTCGTCGGAGCAACGTGTTCGTTTCATCGACTGCATGGCAGAGATTCGAGAATTTGGTACGCAGATGCAAGCCTTGGACAGCCGCTACTTCCAGGACTACGATGATCTAACACACGAGTACCACGAGCTCAAGGCCGGGGTGGTCTGGGAACGCGACGAGCTAACCCAATTGCGTACTGCTCTTTCGGCTTCTGTCGCCGAAGCACGAGCGGCAGCAGCTGATGCGGGTCGCGCAGCTGCAGCAGCGGCTGTGGAAGCATTGGAGGAAAGGTTACAGGGGTTTTTCGAGAACTTACGGGAGAAGCTGAAGAGTGTGGTGGAGCAGGTGATAGAGCAATCGTCGCTAGAGGCCTCGTTCACATCCACCTCCATGGAACACCTGCAAGCGGCTATTGACAATAGTGTACTCGCAGTGTGGGAGGATCTCAGGGCTGCGGACGACCAAAACAATCTGACTTTCAACAAGATTCAGAAGGCTCTGGCAGGACTGTCAACAAAGCTCAAAGGGCTGACTGGACCCAGCAAGGTCCGAAAGCCACCCACCGCCAGGGGAGAGGCCACACCAAAGGCTTCGCGAAAGCAGCCCGAAGCAGATTCCTCAGACATCCCAATCTCCTCAGCACAACGAGTCATTGAAAGGTTTGCCGCAACGTCCGAGGGTGAGGAGGGTGACGCTGGTGAGGCGGGTGAGACGGGCGCTGGTGTGGCAGATATTGACTTGTCTGAACCAGTGAGGAGAAACTGGAGAGAGACGTACGCAGCAAAGAACGTACAGAAAGAGAGGGAGAAGGAGAGCGAAGAGAGGAGGACGGCTGAAGCGCGGAAGCGGCAAGCACTTCAGACGGCGCAAGTGACGGCTGCAAAGAAGAGGCGGGCTGAGAAGGGGTTGGGAAATACGAGGGTGGAGGACCATCCTGGGACTGTCAGCAGGGGGAGAGTGACGGAAAACCAACCGGCGGGTACAGCTGCAGAGGCAAGGAAGGCAGAACGCGAAAAGGAGCAGAAGCGGCAGGAGGAGGAGCGGAAGAGGGAGGAGGCAAGGAAAGTAGAACGCGAAAAGGAGCAGAAGAGGCGAAAGGATGAGGAGGAGCGGAAGAGGGAGGAGGCAAGGAAAGCGGAACGCGAAAAGGAGTTGAAGCGGCAGAAGGATGAGGAGGCGCGGAAGAGGGAGGAGGCGCGGAAGGCAGAACTCGAAAAGGAGCAGAAGCGGCAGGAGGAGGAGGAGCGAAAGAGGGAGGAGGCGAGGAAGGCAGAACGCGAAAAGGAGGAGAAGCGGCAGAAGGAGGAGGAGCGGAAGAGGGAGGAGGCGAGGAAGGCAAGCGAACAGGAGGAGAAGCGGCAGAAGGAGGAGGAGGAGCGGAAGAGGGAGGAGGCGAGGAAGGCGGAACGCGAAAAGGAGGAGAAGCGGCAGAAGGAGGAGGAGGAGCGGAAGAGGGAGGAGGCGAGGAAGGCGGAACGCGAAAAGGAGGAGAAGCGGCAGAAGGAGGAGGAGGAGCGGAAGAGGGAGGAGACGAGAAAGGCGGAACGCGAAAAGGAGGAGAAGCGGCAGAAGGAGGAGGAGGAGCGGAAGAGGGAGGAGGCGAGGAAGGCGGAACGCGAAAAGGAGGAGAAGCGGCAGAAGGAGGAGGAGGAGCGGAAGAGGGAGGAGGCGAGGAAGGCGGAACGCGAAAAGGAGGAGAAGCGGCAGAAGGAGGAGGAGGAGCGGAAGAGGGAGGAGGCGAGGAAGGCGGAACGCGAAAAGGAGGAGAAGCGGCAGAAGGAGGAGGAGGAGCGGAAGAGGGAGGAGGCGAGGAAGGCGGAACGCGAAAAGGAGGAGAAGCGGCAGAAGGAGGAGGAGGCGAAGGCGATGGAAAGGAGGCGGGCACAGAGGGAGGCGGAGTTAGAAGCTAAGCGCAAGCAGATTGCTAAGATTGCGGAAACAAAGCGGTTGGAGGCAGCAAAGCGAAAAAGAGACCTCGAAATAGAGCGTCGGAAAGCCCTGGAGGAGATCGAGCGTATTGCACGGTTAGAGGAAGCCGCAAAGGAGGAAGAGGAGAGGCAACAAATAGAGTTAGAGGCGGAAACAGAGAAAATGGAAAACGAGAGGCGACGGATTGCGGGGGAGGATGAGGAAGGGGCAGCGGGGCAACGGCAGGGAGGAGAGGCGGAAGAAGGGTGGGCCGGGATTCTTCAAGTGATTTCATTGGTTCTCGATGAACCGCTGCAAGTAGTTGACCTCGTGGGGGAGGTGGAGGGTTCGGAACATGTGACAGGCTCTGGAGGTCTAGAGACTCAACCGCCTTTGAAGAGGCTTCGCATTGACCAGACCGGAACGAACTTCGACGCGGATGAGGGGTCTTTGGGGGCTGCTACGTCAGAGGAATGTGTCGGTGAAAATGTGTCGGGAAATCAGAACGTTCAACCAACGTTGGGGGAGGCGACGGGAGAGGTGGCACCGCGAAGAGCGGATGTGCTACCAGACGAGCTAGGGAAGCGGTGGGGGGAAACAAAGCATTTCAGATCGAGTGGTCTTACCACACGCGAGAAGAAGAACAAAAAGGGGGAAGTGGTGTACGTGCGCTACAACTCGGAGCAAACCGTCGGAGGTGTGAAGAGGAACATGGGGAGCTACAAGGAGCGGAAACTACGCGATTTCACAGTGGCCGTCTGTTGGATGGCCTACTTCCCCGACACCGACATGGCCCATTACGGCTTGGATCCTGCCGAGCTTGGCTTGTGGGCGGTCCACCTCGATTTCGCTCGTGAACTCCCGACGGGTGTCTGGAGTGTCATGAACGAATTGAACCTCGACAAGTTCGAGAAGTAAGTACTCGATTCGGATTAGCTAGATCTAGTACACTTTCCCGTTTTGCCTTACTAACCGTGTACCCACCTCGCCTGTGCAGCTTCGAAAACGTCATGAACAAGACAAATGCACGGGTGAAGGACGGCGCACATTTCCAGGTGGCCGTTTGCACAGGGATTGGACAGGCCCTGGTACACGGAGGGAGTGGGCTGGTGTCGCCCCCCGCGAATGTCACTCCCGCGGTCTATGCAGCGGGAGTAGCTGCAACCCTCTACACCTTGTGGTGTGCCTCGATCGGCATTCCCCACCAGGACTGGGCGGAGGGTGCGGATGAGGCGGCTCGTGGCACGCTCAACGAGGCAAGCCTTGCTAGTCGAGCAACCTCTACTGCTCGCCTCGGAGTGTGGACCTTGAAGGCCGTGAAGAACCTAACGCACGAGAAGGCGGATTGGGAAGTGGTGCTCACCAAGGCCATTCTCGGCCTTGTGGATCCCGAGCCCGGGGAGGCAGAGGCTATTGAAATGGCCAAGGTGGTTTCGAGGGTGCTGGTGTACTGGTGCGAGTGCTGTCACGCAAACCAGAGTCTTTACGCGTATCAGGGTGGGATGCTCCATTTTCCCCAGCCCACAAAAGGGGGACGGCGGAAGGGGAATGCGGGAGGCAACGAGTGATGCAGGATGGGGAGGGTAATTTCGAGTTTGCAGCAGCTCTGTACTATAGTCTGCTGAATGTTGTAGTTTTTGAGTTTTCATTGATTTGAACTTAAATCTGTTACATGCATTGTTTGACTCGAAAGCATGGCGTGAATAAGGACTTGAATGCTGTAGGGTTAGATCTCTGAACCACGGTGTTTCCTTAATTGCTTTTGAGGCTTTGTTTTCAAGTAACTAGCGTACTTAGGATTTCGATCGTGAACTTAACGCGTGACGAGAGTGCAACCCTCTTGCTTCGGATTAGTCTGTGGCATGCTTTGATATTCGACACATTCCCATGTTTTCGAGACATTCCCATGCTTAACATTGACGTTCCAATGACTAGTGTTACTCTAAAGGAGGATTTAGAATCTAGAACAGAAGAGAGGGAGGGCATCAAAGTTCCCTCTGGCGGCGCAGTGATTTCTTTTTGCATGCCATCATAGTTTGTTGCTAACCCTGATTTTCGAGAGATTCCTACGTTCCATTGACTATTGTGGCAGGTAACCATGTACTCCAAAGGGAGCCTGCTCATTCGAGTTTTGTTCGCGTATTTTTTCTATGCCGTCGCAGCACTGTTAACGACACCTGTTTTCGAGCACAATCCTCTTGGTACGATAGGCGAAGGTTACGATGTACGGTGGGTGTAAATTTTGTTGTGGAACTACATACGATCCAACAATGATGTAACTCTAAAAGAGGTTTTAGATCAGAGGAAACTAAAAATAAGAAAAAGAGGGGTCAAAGTCAAGAGCAGAGCAGAAATGAGGTCCAAGATGAGGGAAGCGATCACGGAAGGAAGTCTCGGTAGCGTAAACTGTTAAGTTGTAATGTGTTATTTATATGTAGGTAGGCTGTAGTGGGGTAGCCAATACAGGGTACAAACCCAACTAGGGTTAGCTACTTGTACCCAACTGTTTCTTTCAATGCACCATTCTTGCCTAGTTCTGTTAACATGGTATTCAGAGCAGGAGGTCCCTAGGACCTACCGACCGTTTTTTTTTTAAGGGCCCACCACCGCTCGCATGCGGTTACCACGCTACCCCGCGCCCTAGTTAGCGCCCTCGTGCGCCCTCGTTAGCGCCCTCGCGCGCCCTCGTTAGCGCCCTCGCGCGCCCTCGTTAGCGCCCTCGCGCGCCTCTCGTTAGCGCCCTCGCGCGCCCTCGCTAGCGCCCTCGCGCCCCCTTGTTAGCGCCCTCGTGCGCCTCTCGTTAGCGCCCTCGCGCGCCCCTCGCAGCGTCGCCCGCCCGCCGAGCCGCCCGCTCGCAGCGTCGCCCGCCTACCGCGCTGCCCGTTTCGCAGCCCGCCCGCCGCGCTGCCCGCTCGCAGCGTCGCCCGCCCGCCCGCTGCCCGCTTGCAGCGTCGCCCGCCCGCCCGCTGCCCGCTTCGCAGCGTCGCCCGCCCGCCGCGCTGCCCGCTCGCAGCGTCGCCCGCCCGCCTCGCTGCCCGCTTGCAGCGTCGCCCGCCCGCCCGCTGCCCGCTTCGCAGCCCGCCCGCCGCGCTGCCCGCTCGCAGCGTCGCCCGCCCGCCTCGCTGCCCGCTTGCAGCGTCGCCCGCTCGCAGCGTCGCCCGCCCGCCTCGCTGCCCGCTTGCAGCGTCGCCCGCCCGCCCGCTGCCCGCTTGCAGCGTCGCCCGCCCGCCCGCTGCCCGCTTCGCAGCCCGCCCGCCGCGCTGCCCGCTCGCCGCGTCGCCCGCCCGCCCCGCTGCCCGCTTCGCAGCCCGCCCGCCGCACTTCCCGCCTGCAGCACCGCGCTGCCCGCTTCGCAGCCCGCCCCCCGCACTGCCCGCTCGCCGCGTCGCCCGCCCGCCGCGCTTCCCGCCGAGCTACCTACCTGCAGCGCTGCGGCAGCTTCCTTTGCTCAGTCGCACTGTCGCTATGGCTTCCATCCGCGTGCTGTCGTTCGATGCTGAGGGCCGCCCTGTGAAGTTCGCCACTTGGCTGGATGACCTGCAGCTGTTCCTTCTGAGCGATAGCAAGGAGCATGTGTCGCTCTATGATTACGCGTCTGGTGCTGCACCTGCCCCTCCTGCCACAGCTGAGCTTAGTGTTCGTTCCCACTGGCAGACTCGTGACGCAGCTGCTCGCCTAGCCATTCGCAGTCACCTGCCGCTAGCTGAGCTCGAGCATTTTGGCGACTGCAAATCCGCTAAGGCCCTGTACGATGCTGTCGTTGCTCGCTACTCCTCGCCTGCCACAGCCGAGCTTAGCCGCCTCATGCTGCCGTACCTGTTCCCTGAGCTGTCCACCTTTGCTACAGTCGCCGATCTTATCACTCACCTTCGCACTAGTGATGCTCGCCTGCGTGCCGCCCTTCCCACCGAGTTCTGCGCTAAGAATCCCCCTCCACTGTACTGGACACTCCACTTCATAGTCACCCGTCTCCCTGACACCCTCAGCTCAGTTCGAGACCACTTCCTTGCTCGCTGTCCCACTGAGCTCACAGTCGCCCTCCTAGAGGAGCAGCTGCTAGCGGCCGAAAAGAGCATTGTAGCTGTCGGTGCTGCTCGTGGCGCTCCTCGCACCCCCATCTTTGAGGGGTGTTCTCCCTCTCCCCTCGCTCCCTCCTACGCTACTGCTGCTGCTGTTGACTTCCTTGGTGCTGAGTCTGCTGGCGCTGCTTCTGCTCCTGGTGGGAGGCGCCGCACCGGCAAGGGCAAGGGGGGCAAGGGTGGCGGGGGTGGCGCTGGGGGGGGAGGAGGTGGGGGAGGTGGGGGGGGAGGCGGTGCTGGAGGGAGCGGTGGCGGGAGCGCTGGTGGGAGTGGGGTCGGCGGTGGAGGCGGGGGCGGCGGAGGAAGCAGTGGCAGTAGTGGCGGCGGCGGCGGTGGCGGCGGTGGCGGTGGTGGCGGTGGTGGCGGTGGCGGTCGGAGCGGTGGTAGTGGTGGCGGCGGAGGTCGGAGTGGAGGCACTGGCTCGGGCCAGAGCTCCCAGCAGCAGCAGCGTCCCCAGACGACCCAACAGCTTCGTGAGTGGCTTGCTCAGCGTGGGACGTCGGGGGGCAGTGGCCGCTGTTCCTATGTCATTCGCACAGGTGACCGCAAGGGACAGACGTGTGGGAGGTTCCACACCCCGTACCGCTGCTTCTCCCGCCTTGACGACGCTTGGCGTGAGGAGATGGGCGAGGATGTTGAGCGCCCCCGCTGGGCTGAGCTCATGAGGGCTGGTGTTGATATCTTTGCTCTTGACTATGATGCTATTATTGCTGCCATGTATGCATTGACTGTTAGTGCCGAGGGAGACTGTTACTTGTGTGTGCCGCCTGACCCAGGTATAGAGCCCGCTGCCCTGGGTACTAGTGAGTCTGCTCTCTCTGGTATGGTGCCCCCTGTACTTGCTCCCTCCAGTGCTGTCCCGGCTGTTTGCGAGTCTGCTCTCTCAGGTACAGCACCCACAGAGACTGCTCTCTCAGGTACCGCACCGGCTGAGGCCTGTCACACCTTCACCCTTGACTCAGGTGCTTCCCACTGTTTCTTTCGTGACAGTACTGAGCTCACACCGCTTCCTGCACCGGTCCCAGTCTCCTTGGCTGACCCCTCTGGGGGCCCAGTCCTTGCCCAGTCCACCACTGTGCTCCCTTGTCCGGCGGTTCCGTCTGGCTCGTTGTCGGGTTTCCACCTCCCCTCGTTCTCGACGAACCTGGTGAGCAACGCTGTCATCCAGGATCAGTGGGTTGACACCTTTACCCCTGGAGGACAGCGTGTGGCGATCTGCACGTGCTCCAGGACCGGCCGTCACCTGGCTACGTTTACCCGTCGGCCGGGGTCGAGTCTCTACACACTGACCACTGCGTCTCCTCAGGTTGCTGCTGTCGGTCAGGTGTCCGCGTCAGGTCTGGTGGCCCACGCCTGTGAGTGTCGTTCCCTGTCGCACCAGACTCTTCTCTGGCACCACCGCCTGGGTCACCCCTCCTTGCCACGCCTCCGTGGCATGCACCGTCGCTGCCTTGTGTCTGGTCTTCCCAGGTCCCTCCCTCCCCTCCCTGCCTCGCCTGCGCCGCCTTGCCTTCCTTGCGTCGAGGGGCGGCAGCGCGCAGCTCCTCACTCCTCCTCGTTCCCCCCGACAGAGGCTCCTCTGCAGACCCTCCACCTGGACGTGTGGGGCCCAGCCCGCGTTCGTGGCCAGGGCGGTGAGCGGTACTTTTTGCTGGTTGTCGACGACTACTCGCATTACACCACGGTCTTCCCCTTGCGCACCAAGGGTGAGGTCCCTGCTGTTCTGATCCCTTGGATCCGCACAGTTCGTCTCCAGCTCCGCCGCCGTTTCCGGACAGATCTTCCTGTCCTGCGTCTGCACTCTGACAGAGGTGGTGAGTTTTCCTCCGATCTCTTGAGGACCTTCTGTCAGGCGGAGGGCATCGAGCAGACCTTCACGCTTCCGGACTCCCCACAGCAGAATGGGGTTGCTGAGCGCCGCATTGGCCTGGTCATGGAGGTCGCTCGTACCTCCTTGGTCCACGCGGCGGCTCCCCATTTTCTGTGGCCGTTTGCTGTCCGGTACGCCGCGCATCAGCTCAACCTCTGGCCCCGTGTCTCCTTGCCGGAGACCTCGCCCACACTGCGTTGGACGGGGGAGGTTGGCGATGCGTCGCGCTTCCGGGTGTGGGGTGCTCGTGCCCTTGTCCGCGATACGTCCGCGGACAAGCTCTCCTCCCGCACGCTTCCCTGTGTCTTCCTTGGCTTTGTCCCTGACGCGCCGGGCTGGCAGTTTTACCACCCCACCTCGCGCCGGGTCTTCGCCTCTCAGGATGTCACCTTTGACGAGTCGGTCCCTTTTTACCGTCTCTTCCCCTACCGCACTGCCCCCCTCCCTCCCCCGCCGCTTTTCCTTGCTCCTGGTCCCCCTCCGGTAGACCCCCTTCCCCCTCAGGGTCCTGCTCCTTCAGGTGTCTCTCAGGTAGACCCTCCTCCCGTCGCTGAGCCTGTCGAGGTCACAGGTGACTCAGGTGCTGCTGCAGGTGGTGCTGCTGGGAGTGCTGAGCCTG